ACTGTACATCTTTTGCCTTAGCACTACCGGGAGATTTACTTCAGTTAATAATTCTATTTGAAAGTCACATAGGAAGAAGGCAGGAGTACATACACAGATTTATTTTTTTATTGACAATTCTTCATTGAAATGTCATATATTTCACACCTTTTAAGTGAGGAAATAAATCATAGTTGATGTTCTCCTTTTCCACTATTCCAAATGAGTTTAAGCCAAAGGATAGAGGACATGTTTATGAGAGAGAATGCTTTAGACACCATCATTTCCAGAGGAGATGATATGTGCAGGAGAAGATGATGTCTGGGAGGAGGGAATGAGACACCTTTCACACTTAAGGAGGCAGGGAAGACAGCTGCAACAGAAGAGTCTTTACGTGGTCACTGTTCACCCAGTGGTCCCACACATGAAGCCTGTAGTGGGGGAGGACTGGAAGAGCTTGTTACATGCTTTGCCTGTGGGATGGGGCAAGAGAATCAAGACCTGAATCTGGATAGTTGCCACAGAAGAGGATGGTCCCTATGGGCTCTGAACCAATCGTTATCAAACATTAAATGAAACTCAAATACAATGATTAGCTTGGAAAAATCTCACTTCAGCATGAAGTACACACATATTTTTCTTTAATCAAGTGAACTCTGGCCTTGGTTCATTGACAAGTTCATCTTTTATGTTACTTTCCAAGCCATTGCTGCTTGTGTCCTGCCAGGAAATCACTGTGTTCATTTGCTATCGAGGTACTCCTTGTGAGTTCATGCAGGTTCTTGTTCTTCATAGGATGCAGGTCATGAATGTTGTGTCAGTTCACCATTTGCTGCCAGAGCATTTCATGGCAGACTTCCACCATAATGAGTAGAAAAGACACCCTGGAAATTCCCCCTCAACCCTACAAATTCTCCTTTTCCCTCTGTCAGCATGTGGCTGCTGTAGGCCCTCACACAGGGGATGACTTGGGGTCTCTGTCCAAGGCAACCACTGGTCCTCCCTGTCTCACCTGTCTCTGTCTTTGTACCCCATAGCCCTGCTGCATACTCACCACTTTGGCACTGACTTTTACAGAGAAATGTCCCTTGCAGGTAGTGTCCTCTGCCCTGTCCTGGGCTCTCTGCACTTCTCTTTGACTCACAGTATATTAAACAAGCTTTCCTCACTTTATTTCATTTTCTGACACAGCCCTTCTTTCTCAAGTTACACTACATTTCCTTGGTTATCATTTAGAGCAGGGAAATATATTTCACACTTTTACTGCACTTGCTGTATTTTGGCATGGTTAGGAAAAAAGCCCAACTGGCAGATACTAATACCTGTAAACTTGAAGTTAAAATGCTGCTGGTTTCAGGAATTTTCTCCATTCAAAAATTAGCTTCCCAAACAGCAAGACAACATGTAAATCCATCTGTGGGAACTTGTCTGGAAGACTAGGCTGATGAGAATAGCCAATAGTGTTCTCCTGCAGACATCTGTGTTGTATCATGCTAGGGGGTTCTTGCGTGATACTGAGGAAATTGCTATAGCCTGACTTTCTACACAATCAACAGGGTGTTACCACAGTGAAGAATCCTCCTCCACCACCATCCTCCTGCTAGAACAGTCCAGCACTGGCTGTGCCACTGTGGTGAGGTCACTTAGGGCTGTTTTGTTTCTTTAATTTCCTCCCTTAACTTCCCAAACCTGCCACCTCTGTGCTTCTGTCTCTGGCAAGACTGACAGGCATAGTGAAGGCATATGTTACATCACTTGGCATCAGCATTAGTTACTTTTTTCTTCATGTTTTAAATGCATGATTTCTCATCTGCTTTCCTTATCCCTGTAGTTACTTGATATCGTGAAGTGTAGCCAAAGGTTTTGTTACTTGATGATTGCTGAATTTTTCTTGAATTTTAAACTGTCAGTTGGTGAATTTTTCCATCATCATTTTTCTTTATGATATGCAGTTTCCAGAACATACAGACTATTGGCAAGTTAAATGTTTCCATGATCTTTTGTGATGATGATAAACAACTTTTAAAAGTTGCTGAATACCTAAAGACCATAGCCTGAGATTCAGCAGGTCCATGTTCAGGTCCTGTTTGTCTTGTTTGCACTGCAGAGTCCCTGCTCAGCCTTTGGAAGGGCACAGTGGGCTCTCTGCCCCATGATGACAGTGCTATAGTTGGGGACAACTGATGAAGTTGCCTCTTCACGTCTTTATCTCCCAGGGCATGGACCTTTCAGATGACCTGCTGTACAACATGGTGGTTCTGCATCTGGTTCAGAAGAAGCTCCACTGCTCATGCAGGCAGCTGGGAGCAGCAACTTCAGGAGCTCTGCTAAGCTCAAACATCTTTGAAATTTGTCAGCCTTCACTTCTGTGCCTCTCTTTACCATGTATAGCACTGGCAATAATTTTTCCCATTTCTTGACTTTTTTTCTGCCTGGCTTGGGGACATGCTTGTTCTTTCTTAATGGTGACCATAGTTGAGAGCTAAACATCTTGGTTTTATTCAAAGATGATGGGATGTAGCAGTAACATAATGATTTACTCTTGGTAGAGTCACACAACAGGCCACAGGAAGGCTGTTATCAGCTTAATTTTCTTGCCCTTTTGGAGAATAAACAAGCAATATTCCACGTATTGCAAATAACTAATGAACTTCATTGACTTCATCCTTTTTCAGCTGAGTTATGTTTTGGGTCCAGTGAGTTCATACACAAATATTTAACCAAGCTTTTTGAACTAGCTGGTCAAATGTAATTTCTGTGATATGAAAGCTAATGCTGTAGTTTGTGTCTTATCTCTAGTACTACCCATGTAACGTTACAAATATGGGTGTTACACAAATTGTTGAATGCTGAGGTTATCACTGAACCTTAATACCTGCTGATCATGGCAGATCCTTTGTCACATTGCTTCCAGAAAAAAAGCAGATGATACTGTGATTATCTACAAGGCACTAAGCAAAGTCCTATCTGAAAGCAGTGAGAGTTTAGAAATTTAGTAGCTGAGATGTTGTTATTCACAGCAGATCAGGCAAGATTATTTCCACAAGCTGCTCTGCTAACCTGTTCAATGAAAATGGTTAGTGCAATGTCACATTATAACATAAGGACATAGGAGTCTGAGGATGGAGGTACCTGATCATGACAATAGTCAAGCCAGCCCAGAATCCTGCCCAATGATGCCTTAAAAATGAGTTCCTAAAGAACTTATTAAAATCATGGTAACGGCAGAGGAATATGCTTTCAGACTGCTCCAGTCTCCAGTGATTCCTAAGCCATTGGTCATATTTTTGTTTTGAATACCCTCAACTGATTTTTCTCCCATAAACTTGCCCGGTTACTTTTTGGACACATACACCTTGCAAAATGGTGTTCCACAGCTCAAGGGCATGGTGTGTGAAGAATCACCTTCTTTTGCCCATTTAGAACCTGTCAATTGATATTTTAGTGCTCTATAGCTCTATACAGGAAGAAAACATGAGCAGTCACTCTCTTCATAGCTTCTTCAAACCCTTCATAGTTTTACAGATATCTGCTATATCCATTCATATCTTTTCCAGCCCAGAGAGACCTAGTCCATTTAACCGGTCCTTCCAGATTTTAAGTTATCCTAAATGACTTATTCTAAAGTTTTTCAAGGTCTACCCCACCCTTTTGGAATTGCAGATTCACACAGAATTCCAGCTAAAGGTCCACCATAGGTTTGTATGGTGGTATAAAGATGTGCTCTTTTTTTTTCTTTGTTTCTTTTTTAATAATGCCCAATGTTTGGTTTGCTTTTTGGGGCATCCTACTTAGACATAGAGCCCCCTTAATAGCCACCCTATAATGGAGGAAAAAAAAAATAATAGAAACTCTGACATGGTCTCCTCTTCCATTTCCTCTATCTGCCAAAAAACTAAAAGTTACAGGATGTTCTCTAGGAGTGCTGTCAGATTTCCAGTCTTCATCAGTTATAGAGCCTCTTGCATTTCTCTGTTCAGGGGCTGCACTCCACAGCAGCAGGAAGGAGTGTCTGCCACAGCACACTCCTTTTGCATGTCTACTTTCTCCCCATCACCTCCCAGCCTCCTCTTAGCAAAGAGAAAGTGTAGAAAGGCCTTATTCTGTAGAGGTTAAGGAAAGATGGGAAACTTGACCTATCTAAAGAGATGCTAATGTTGCTGATAATTTTGCAGTTTGATCTACAGTCTTCATGAGATCAGGAAGACCTTTCCCCACCAAAACCTGTCTTAGCCAGCCAGCCTTCCCTGACTATTTCTTTCCTTACTAAAGCACATCAAATGTAGTTGTGTCTCAGGGGTGAGAAAAGATTCAAATGTTGGATGTCATAAGGTGTATGTACAAGTATGTACAAGTATTACCCAGATTTCATAAAGTGCTTCAGTGAATCAGATAGCCCAGGAGACTTTTGAAATTAGTTGGAGCTTGCACAGTTTGTGAATGGAATGGAATGGAATGGAATGGAATGGAATGGAATGGAATGGAATAGAATAGAATAGAATAGAATAGAATAGAATAGAATAGAATAGAATAGAATAGAATAGAATAGAATAGAATAGAATAGAATAGAATAGAATAGAATAGAATAGAATAGAATAGAATAGAATAGAATAGGTTTTCAGTTGGAAGGGACCTACAACAATCATCTAGTCCAACTGCCTGACCACTTCAGGGATGACCAAAAGTTAAAGCATGTTATTAAGGACGTTGATGCTAGAAATTTTATTTTATATCCTTGCCTCTCAACTTACTATGCAACATCTCACTGCCTGGGGCTCAAGGATAAAGCTGTCCTTTTCAAAAGCTGGATCCAGTTTCAGTTTCGTTGTGGTACATATGTAATTGTCAAAGTGTTACTCTGTATAAAGTTGTTCTTAGAACCTTCAATACCCATCACATTCCCCACTGCATGATTAGCCAGAAGGTATATATTTTGATGTTGTAAAAAATTATAGACAGATAATTTCCTTTGCTGGGCAATATTTCTGACCATTTATCCTGAATATTAAAATGAACAAATATTGAAAATTGTTACTTTTATTTGTATCTGGAAGCTAGAAAATAGACAGTGGTTAATAGCCTGCACCCAGCTTTCCACTGTGGAAACTCTGGATCCTTCTCCAGCAGGATGAGGGAGAAACTTGGAAGAGAGAAAGTGAGAAAAGCTCCCAGCTCAATATAAAGACAGTTAAGGAAAGAGAAGAAAAAAAAAAAAAAAAAAAACAAAAACAAGTGATGCAAAAACTCACCACCACCTGCCAGAAGACTGATGACCAGACAGTCTCTGAACAGTGGCTATATTGGAAAAAAACCTCCCCAGTTTTTATTGCTAGGCATGCCATTAGATGACATGGATTCTCTCTTTGGTCAGTTTGGGTCAGTCGTCCTGGCTGTGTCTTGTCCCAGCCCCATAGACTACTGCTTGGGTTTGAGGACAGAGTGAGAAACCAAGGCAGCCTCAACACTGTGCAAGCACTCTTCAGCAATAGCTAAAACACTGGTGTGTTATCAACACTGTTATAGTCATAAATCTAAAACACAGGCCATACAGGCTACTCTGAAGAAGCCAGATGCAGTACACCCTTGTAGGCTGTGAATACACTTGAAGGGTCTGTTTTGGGGCTAAGAAGGTGCCTTTTTTCATGCAGATCCAATCTGGAAGAGAACAGAAGCAAGTGAATTAAAGAGTAAGCGTAGTTTCCACATTAAAGGCTACATATAAACACAGTATGGGATCCCAGGAGCTGGCCCATACATGGCACTAGGCAGGCCCAGCAAAGCAACAGCCTCAGTTCTCAAATACAAGAGGGACTGGCAGATGTCAATCTATACATGAGGGCAAGCAGCAAGAGTTTAAGCATATACATAGCATCTAGGCTCTAAATATGTCTGCATTTTAAGTTTGTTTGACAGCATTAGAATATGATTTCTTTAGTCCTACATGAATGATTAACCAAAGGGACACAAGCTGGAGAGGTAAAAGTCAGTATGCAAACAAAGAGTTCATCCTTAGTTTGTTCATTCTTATCTTGAGCAGATTAATAAGTAATCTCATACCTCAGCAGAAGTAGGAAGGCACTATTGGCTAATTTTATCCATGTGCTTTGGTATCACATCATATAAATAAGCATGGATTTATAGGTCCAACATCAGTTTCTTCTGACACTTATCTTCCTCAGACCACCATGGAGCTCCTGGGAATGACCACTATTTTCTTGCTGGTCTGCATTGCATGTCTTCTTCTCTTTGCCTCATGGAGAACCACATCGCAAAAAGAGAAGCAGCCTCCTGGTCCCATCACACTCCCCATTGCTGGAAACATACTCCAGCTGAACCCATGGAACTTGCCTAAAAGCTTGAAGAAGGTAAGGGACTGTCTCTTTCTTTTCTATGTTGTCTCCACTGCATATAAAACAAAGACCTGTCCAGGCTGTCTCAGCTTAATTCACAAGCTTAATTTGCATTGACCAAATGTCAGACTCAAACAGAAACAAAAGGTTTCTCAGGAATACATGCTTCTGAAGTCTACATGTTGCAATAATCCAGATATCTAAGTCTATATATTGCAATTCTAAGTCTATATATTTGCAATAATCATACTAATGATGAGTCCTGTGCTACCTCATGGCAGTGCTGTAATTTGCAGTGGATTTGCAATCAAGGCACTGATGCTATTGCAATAGTCACTATACTCCTCCTGTGCCCAGCTCCTCAGCATGATGGCAACACGGCCTGGTCCTTTTTTGGGAAGGACTCTGCTCCATTTTGCTACCTCTGCTCCCTAGCAGAAAGGTAGGAACTCCTGGAAATGGAAGTAGTGACTGAAGGAGTTGAAGCAAAAAAGTTTGGAGGTGAATTGTGCTGTCCATTCCCTCCCCTGGCTGATGTCATCCATCTGTCAAACAAATCCTGTGTGTTGCAAGGCCTGGGTGGGGATAGGTGGAGGGAGATCAGCTGGAGTGCCTGTTCCTTAGGGGTTTGTGAGGGTATAGTGGCAGATGGATGAGAAGGGCAGACGTCCCTGGGTTCTTCAGAGCAAAATTGTGTTGATGGCAGACATCACCATGTGTCTCATCAGATGCACACATATTCATATGAGCTCCTTTTTGCCTTGGTGGTTGTGAATCATTGAGAATCATGAGCACCCTCAGTCATTCTGCTTCATTTCAGAAAACTAGGTAATTCAGTTTCCCACCATAAAAAACCTGGGACTATATCTAGTTTGCTCTTACAAAATGAGCATGAGAAGATGTGTTCCAGGTTGGACCAAGTAGCCCAAGAATATTTCTGCAATTGTAGCCAAAAGCAGATGCCTGGGAAAGAGTATATGGTTAATGAAAGGATGCAGTGACTCTCCGCTGATATACTCACCCAATTTCCAGAAGTCTGTGGCCCAGGAGATTTTAGAGACAACTGTGGTATGTCTGCGCTCAAAAACCCTTTAGGCACTTGCTTCCATAAGAGTTTATAATTGCTTTTTGAGTCAGTGTAAACTATTATCCGCTGTGCACTGTAGAAAGGCATTCCAGACTGTTTTGACAGCCCTGTGATGAACTATTTTATTTTCTGGGGTTTGAACTTGACACCTCACCATTTCCATTCATATCCCCTAGTTCTTGTACAATTCCCTCTTCCCCTGACTATAATTCATAACTGAAAGTTCTCTTCACTGCTGCTAATCGATGCCATGTCTTAGTGATGCTGGGACAATGGCACTTCAGCCCTCAAGCCCATTTGCTACAAACTTCTTTTCACGTGATTAATATTCAGCCATGTTGTTCTTTTTGTTCCTTTTTTCCTACAGCTTAGCGAGAAATACGGTCCTGTCTTCACAATATATTTAGGCCTACAAAAGGTTGTGGTGCTGTATGGCTATGATGTTGTGAAAGAAGCACTGATTGATCAGGCAGACGACTTCAGTGGAAGAGGCAATCTACCACTGCTTAAAAAACTCTTCCAAGGCACAGGTACAGCCCTGGTAATGTTAGTATACAAAGCTGATGCTTCCAGTGCTTCAGGAACACAGCTGAGAAAGCAGTGGAGGAGGGAACGGTGGATTTCATTTACTACTCTCATGCATACAAATTGGCAATAAAGGACTAAAAAATTACCTCGTTACTTGGACCCTTGAGTAGATTGGACTCCTGGAGAACTGCTTAAGGTCCCAGGTTGGCCTCACTGAGTGCCTTTCTATTTTCAGCATGCTTCAGATTCTGGCTAAAATTTTGTTCATTAAATGTGCTTCCAAGATCATACGTTCATTCTCCCATTTCTGAAAATACTGACAATATACATGCAGTTAAGTCCACAGCACAACAAAGACAAGATAATATAGGCTGTCCTAGTAAGAGCCATATTCAGCATTAGGCCCTGACCTTATTCACCAAGGCATTCCCCATTATGGCATTTATCTGTGTAAATAGTACCTATTTCATGGTACTATAGTATAGCATCAATGGTATTGTGAATAAATGATACACAGTGTGAGGGTGCATAACAGAACATTTGAACAGTTATGTCAGTGCAAAGGCCATGTGCTTGTGGCCAAGATCAATTCAGTACCAGTGCTACCTTCTTATTTACAACCTAGCATAGTTTTTCTTATTCTGGGAATAAACACAATTTTACTCAAAGTACTGTAACAGATGGATCAGATTCGCCACCTCCAGAACTGCAGAGAAGTTACATTTTTGGGCATATAGTAATTGCGATATAACTCCACAGAGAGGTGTCTTTGCATGTTGGGTACTTACTGTGTAGTTCCCATTCAGGAGGAAAATTAAAAAATCTGTTTCCTCATAGAGGTTTATTTTTCCTTCCTGCATCAGGCATTGTGACCAGCAGTGGGGAGACCTGGAAGCAGCTCCGACGATTTACACTCACCACACTGCGGGATTTTGGGATGGGGAAGAAGAGCATTGAGGAGCGAATCCAGGAGGAAGCTCATTTTCTGGTGGAGAGGATAAAGAACACACATGGTAGGACATGGATTTTGTGCCTGCTGGGATGCCCTGTGTATCTGCAATGAGACAATGCAGGGTAAAGGGCTGCTTTGCCAAATCTATGACCCAAGATGTGGGCATGTGGCTGTTCCTTCTGCTCCTTGTTCCAATACACAGTTATCACTGCTGGGAGTGGATCAGTCAAAGGCACTGTGACAGTACGGAGGGATGAATGTAGGAGACTGGTGTTAGAAAGCATCCTTTCACCCGTTCCGCTTGAGGAACAAGACAGGAAGTGGCAAAGGGAATAGCTTGCTCTCAAAGCTAAGGATCTGGTGGAATTCAGCTATGGAGGCAGGGCTGGGCACTACCAGGTAACCAAGCAACATGCCCTGCCTTGCCTTGTCTCCTGCAGCTCTAAGTAGACATATCTTGACAAAGTGGGTGACCAGAGAACTCATTTACAGATATTTGGGGTTGGGTCCAGTCCATGCGAACACCAGACAATAACTCCCAGTATTGGTGTGGGTGTGCAATGGGAACAGGGACTATAAACTGCTTTGGAGGGCAGGGCACAAGGTAACCCCATTGGTTTCAATCTATAAATGCGTTTTCTGGCAGTATTAAGACAATGTTACTTCTAAGTACTTCCTCTGAGAGTGGCACAGTACCAGACTGGACCACAGGATTCCTTTCCACAGCCAGCCTTCAATGTGTGCTTATTCTGCATGGGGGAAAAAGCAGATGGATCTGAAAGGATGCTGAAGCATCACTGTTACCCATGAGCCACTAGAAAATTCAGTCTGGCTTCATAATTAAACATACCTGTTACAAATGAGAAAACACTCTCACCTGCATTACTCTTATCCTTTCACTAACACAGTAATACCGTATTTCCTATGTCCTACTGCAAGCCTCCATCTCTGGTTCACCTTGTTACAGCATCTTTTACTGCATGCAAAAAGGCTTTGCAAGCAAGATATATACAAATGAAAAGTATAAAGCCATTATTTACTCTTAATGCAAATAATAAATAGCTAGGACTAGTTATCTACTAGGCAGCATTAATATACTCACCACCTCTGATGAGACATCTGCTGAATCTTCAATGGCCAAGGAGACATCAGTCAGGCAGACAAGGGTTGGTGCCATTGTTCCATGGAACAAGCTGATCCTCAGTGCTGCCAAATTGCCATTTTCTGATTCCTTGTTTTTCTTTTAGGATTTTAAACTTTTTCATTTTGTTGTTTCTCCTCTTGAAACCTTAAGACATAACATATCACTGTCTGCAATTATATTTTTCCTTTCTTTCTTGGGTATAATCTTGCTTTTATTCTCACACTGTAGTTTTCTTAGAAGCTTATGAAGCTGTGCTAGCAAAACTAAACTTTGATCTCAGGCATTTGAACCCCTAGGAGAAGGTTATACAACTTAGGTTACACTGACAGTGTTCATAAGCAAGGTGCAATAACCTAAAGATATGGCTCAGGCAAAGCCCTTACGGTTTCATTGGGCTTGGGTGGGAATCTTTAGGCCATTTCTAATAAACAGTCTATAAGGAAGACAGGCGTGTGTCAGCTGAAGAGGAACCAAGTCGCTCAGACCAGTGTTGGGCTGAGAACTGGACAAAAGAAATACTTAAACCATTCAAACAGGTAAATCACTTCACATAGAGAAGAATAAATTGGATAAGCCCTTCACTATCCTTTCAAAGGAGTGCAAAACTCTTGGTCTCAAGAACATGCAAAACTTCCTTGTAGTGTCAGAGGAGGGGATGATGCCTAAAATACTGAAAGCAAGATACCGGGTTTTTTTTTGTTGTTGCAGAGAGACCCTTGAACCCTAACCACTTCCTCGTCCATGCTGTTTCCAATATCATCTGCTCCATCATCTTTGGGGATCGGTTTGACTATGAGGACAAAAAATTTCTAACTTTAATTGAGTTGCTAGATGAAAACAATCATCTCCAGAACTCTATACAAACACAGGTGTGTACAGTTTTATTTAATTAATAAATTTGTTAATTACTATCATCTTTTATTAATGAATGTTTATTCATGTTATTCATTTCTAATTGGAGTAGATTTTCCTAAATTTGGAGAAATTTTTTGAAACCCATAAAGGCATTTAAATAACCAATTCCTGTTGTTTTTTCTTACCTTACGGAATCGTCATTGTTTGTCCAAAGAAGAATATTGCAAAAGTTGCTCAAGTGAAGTCTATCCTTCAATAAAGTGAAACCATAAAGTAAAAGGCATTCAAATCCAGCTGACTAATAAAAACCTACTGTTCCAAAACAGTTTAATTGTCCCATTTTCGTAGTTACAGTTAGCGGAACATTTTATTGTATCCACATTAATCAGAATGTGCTTTCTCATCATTTTATTTTTACAGCTATACAATTTCTTCCCAACTGTCATGGAATATTTACCTGGGCCTCATCAGAAATTGATAAAAAATACTGAAATGGTTAATCAATTTACTTTAGAAATCATAGCGGAACACCAGGGAACCCTGGATCCCTCTTGTCCTCGAGATTTCATTGATGCTTTTCTTAACAAAATGGAACAGGTAATGTAAAAGGAAGAGATTTACTGGATTCTAAGAAAACCACTGCCTGAATCTCAGCTTCTTTTCAGTTGTGGCAGGGCACTGGGCTTTTACAAATACAGAGGGGAACTTGATTTTCTTGGCACAGCAACTTCATTCTTACCTCTCCATTTTCCTATCAAGGATTTTTAAACACAGAATTAACAGCACTAGCCAAAGTTAGGAAAACTGAAGACCATTCTGGTTGATGTAATGTAATGCTCCTCCCATATTAAAAAAGGTTCATAATATTATTTAGTAAAAGTACTATAAATGCTGGTGTTCTGGAGACTGAATGTCGTATTTTTGAAAGGACACTAGATGTGTTTATAAACATACATTATGGGTACAAGACTTTCCTTTTTAAACAAGTGGCTTATCTTTGTCATTCAAAACATTCTGCCAATTCTTCTTCCAGGAGAAAGGGAATGGTCACTCAGAATTCACCGTTGATACCTTGAGCAGAACCACGCTTGACTTGTTCCTTGCAGGAACAGGGACCACCAGCACCACGCTGAGACATGCACTTCTGATTCTTCTTAAATACCCAGAGATAGTAGGTAATAGAAAAGGAAATAAATAATTGAAAACTTTTTAATAGATCATGGGATCAGTTTGGACAATTCCTGTCACTACCACATGTGGCAGTTGTCCCCCAACTAAAGAAACCTGTATTTGCAGTGTGGAAATATGTATTAGCCTTAGTTCTGTTCACAGGAAAGAGACATTAGTACTAAGAACATTCATATATTCCTAGTGCAATAAAAGCAAGTTTTGTTGTAAATATGGGGAGAGGTTTAGGCAAACAGGTAATGGACTTGTCCATTCAACACTTATTTATTTCCTAACAGAGAAAATTCAAAAGGAGATTGACTGTGTGATTGGCCGAAACCGAAGCCCCTGCATGGCAGATCGGAGCCAGATGCCCTACACAGATGCTGTGGTCCATGAAATCCAGAGATTCATTGATTTCCTTCCACTTAATCTACCACATGCTGTGATTAAAGACACCAAGTTCAGAGACTATTTTATCCCCAAGGTCTGTTCCACTGTGTCTGAGAAAGATCATAATCTCTTGAAAGCAATTATGTGTTCTATTAATTGTATTTCATTTTATTTTCTAAACCACTGAAATGTCATATAGAATTGGAATAATTTTGTTTGGAAGGCGATTATGAAAAAAAAAACAAAAAGACTTCATCTTCTATGTGAAGAGGGAGATAAAGCTTTCTATTTTTTTCATGTAAATGTAAGCAATCAATGTTCTAATTTATTTGGAAGCAATACTAAATATTCTAATCAGACTCACCATTAAAATTCACTAGAAAACCATCATTGACATACCAATGGCACACATTTTTAGTAATTAAATGCTGAAATTAAACTTTGACTACCCTTCATTCAGATCTGGGAACTTCTCAATGCCGCTTTGCTTTAGCATGTCTCCATTTTAACTTTCTTCTCTCTTTGTTAATTCAGGACACTGTCATACTTCCTATGCTGTCTCCCATCCTACATGATAGCAAGGAATTTCCAAATCCAGAAAAATTTGACCCAGGACATTTCCTGAATGCAAATGATACCTTTAAAAAGAGTGACTACTTCATGCCTTTCTCCACAGGTAAGATCTCTTTCTATGTCAGATCCTAGACTATCCTCTCCTAGAACCTCTCTATTTTAGTGGCTCCATCACCATGGTCTGTACAGTGATGACTGGTGATCTGCTAGTCACTTCTGGGCAGCTCTAATCCATGTACTAGAGTTTCAGCTGACTTCCTTTTTCAGCAATCACAAAAGGTCCTCCAATGCATTCTACAAGAAGAGATGTATGAAGTGGGACTAAGACATGCAATTTCTCTCTCTCCAAAACTTACCATCAAACAGCAGCAGAACATGAGAAACCAAAACCTTCAAACTGCTTTTGGCCACTGAGCATTCTCATTGTTCTAGACACTTAGCCCCTAGTTTAATTAATTTGCTTCCCCAAAACGATGCAGTGCTGCCTGTCCGTTCTGAGATGTCTGAACTTTCATGGAATAGTGGCTAAAGTAAGTTACTAGCAAAATACTCCACTGTCACCTCACTTTTATCATTTTTTGCTTACAGGAAAACGCATCTGCGCAGGAGAAGGTCTGGCCCGGATGGAGATATTCATATTTTTAACAGCCATCCTGCAGAACTTTACTTTGAAACCTGTTGTGGACCACAAGGACATTGACATTTCCCCACTAGTCAGCACTCTGGCAAATATACCCCGACCTTATGAGGTCTCTTTTATTCCACGTTAGCCAAACGAAGACAGTTGCCAGCTCTCAAATTCATGAAAGCTCTGGTTGAATGACAGTCATTTCCCAGTCTGTTGAGACTGAAACACTCAGATCATTTGCTAGATACTTTATGGAGAGAAATGTGCTTAGAAAATAAAATGTTATGGTGCTTTTATAATCATCACAGCCAGCTCTAAACAGAGACAGAGTAGGCAACTGCACAGGGAAGGAGACAGCTCCCTGTGCAAAATAATACAGACACATTACCTCACCTAGCTCAGGTTCCTGACATCCTGACATGTCAGGTTGTGTGAACGAGTGCTCTCAGAGCCCTGCTTCTGCTGCCCCTATCACTTAATCCTCTCAACACAGCAGGAACAGACGCTTGTACTCCAGGGTTTCCATAGACTTTGCTTGGGATACCTCTCTCCCCTGTATTTTCTGTTTGTTTGTGACCTGTTTATAAAGGCAAGCATAAAACAGTGGGTCTTTTCTGTTGGAAGATGATATCTACTGTATTCTTGCCCCAATACATATTGTCTCCTGTGATGGGGATGGAGTTTATCAATGACTGGGGAGATGGGTCCTCTCCTGTGTGATTATATTGAAGGTTCGTGAAATTACAATTTATATTGCAAAATAAAGTAGTAGTACACCGAATTGTTTTTCTGAGATCCCAGAACACCTCTTAGTGAAAAACTTGCCTTCACAAAGCTTATACTCCCAAATGTCTCCAAGTCTTGTACATATCTCCTTCATTTCACACATTTATATGATATGTATTATGGCTTGAAGACAGAGCTGGTCAATGACCTATAGAACTTCCATTCTCAGTAACAATGTGGGAGAAGGCTGGACTGACCCTATGAGATCTGCCAGAACCCCAACTGTGGTTATAGAGCTGTCCATTGTGGCAAGAGAGGACAAATTAAATAATACTGGGATCCTCCCAGTGCCATTTACTAGATGAACAGCAGCTAGCATCTTCCCATTATTTTATGAAGCACGTAAAGACCACTACAGCAATGTTACAATCAGGTAAAAAAAGATTAAAAGAGTTTACATGAGCATACATGTAGGACTGGCATTTCCTAACTTGATCTCATTCCCTGCAATGTCTAATTGATGATGATTACAGTGAAGACAGAGAGCTGAATCTGTGCTATGTGGAAAAAGACAGCAACTGTAATATTACCACAACAGCATTAACGGTTTATGTGAAACAGACACAACTTCTTTCCTTTCAAAGTATTAATAAGCTAGATATACCGTGAGCTGGTAGCATGTCGTTGCAAAGGCAAAAGCCACAAATGTCACAGAATCACTGAAATACGAACAAAACATATATGAAAATACCATCTAGTTTATCACCACATACCGAAGAAGATCAACTATTACAAGTCTTCTCACCAGATAAAAAGAAGAAAACACTTTGAAATTCCTTTCTGTGACTAAAACAGGCAAAGCAAATGGCCTGGGGGCAGCTTCCCCATTCCAGACATCTTCCTCCATGCTGAAAAGGCAGGGAGGCAGTCAGTGCAAATCAGCAAGAAAACAGCTTTAGCTCCCAGAGATTCCACCAAGATACGCAGTGGGCTTTGAGATTAGAGGAGGGCTAAAACTGTGTCGTGGAAACCTTTGTGTCATCTATGGTACAAAAAGCAATGCAAAAATTGCACTGCTTGCATATTGGTACAAAAATCAATTGGTACAAAACCCTGTAACTGCTCACTATTCCTCTGGGTTAACTTGCTTTAGCACCAAGTGATATTATCACCTCTTGGGAAACTAAAGATCAGATTTTTAAACATTTGAATGCTTAATGAATAGGATTTAGCTTATCAATCTCTGTTGACCACTAAACTGAAAATCACCAGTTTAAAAAATTAACCATGATTAAAAAGCTCTACATCTCCCATAAAGCCATACTGCTTGCGCTCTCCCTGCCTGACAGCACTCAGTGTTGCCTAGACTTTTTCTTCTTCTGGGACTGTACAGACAGTGCATTGCTTGCTCACGTGCAGGCCTAGGCAGGGCTATATGAATTTTCTACGACAAACCTGACACAGCGTCCTGTCACTTGGCTACATGAAGAAGTGCCTTTCAAACTCGATGAATCCATTCTGTGCACTGTTGCTATTAGTTCCCAAACACCTCTCGCAGAACACCCTGTGAGCACGAGTTTCTAAGATGCCTCTAAGAAGCTGGGAAGCAGCTACAGAAGCAACAGTCATCTGGGCAAGCACCAGCAAAGAAAAGAACTGATGAGTTCTCAAACCCACTAAAAGGTGTCCCCAAGTGAGGAACACAGTGAAGCAAACAAATATACTTGGGCATTTTCCCCACAGCAGGGCAATAGCATGTGCCTGAGCTAGTATTATAAATTAACATGACATACATACATTAATTGTATGTCTGGACATTAAGGATAGATGTGAGTCAAGGGAGATGAGGTTATCAAAGGTGAATACAAGCAGTTTGGAGTAGCCAGGTGTAAACTCAAATATCTTTAAATTTTCTGTGGAAGAGGAAAAAATCATGGGCAGAGGGCACGCCAGAGCCTCATGTGCACATATATGTTACATACCTCTTGTAGCCTGCAGGGAAGGATGCTGAGACAATTGTGAATTTCCACGCAGAAGCTGAATTTAAAAGGGAAGTTATGAAAACAGTGGTTTTAGCCACAGCCATCAAGGTTCTTGGTGATTATGCCAATTACAATTTCAAAGTTACATTCTGACCTCTTGGGATGTCAGTGCTTCATTTATAACTCTCTACAGTAGCAAGTTAAGCTACAGGTGACTGTCAAAAGACCTAAGAGTTGAAAGTGGCTTTGTATCACATAGAATATACTGAGGTTCACCAGTGCTGCATTATCCTGAGGATGAAGCTCTCTATTGGATTACTGATTAACACTGAAGAACTTTGGTTCTGGGACTCACCTTTCTAAATGGATCTTCTGTTTGGCACACAAATACACCACAGATGTTTTTCACATGGGTCATAACCATAACTCACAATTTTCATGTGCTGTGGGATACACATGCATCCCCTGAGTAGAGACACACACACACAAAGGGTCCAATTTTCTTGCAACTGAGGGACCCAGGGAGAGCTTTCACACTTGTGCTTTTGCCTTTTCAAGCTCTAATAGAAAGTATGCTTCACTTGACTTATTTCTTTCACTGAAGACTTGCAGTCCAAGGAACACAGCTTTTCCACTCTCTGCAATGTATGGCCCTAATAGTCTCCCACACACATGAACACACATTGGTTACCCATTTTTAAGATCAAGGAGGCCACAGAACTTGTGTCAAAGAATAGATCACATATTTTACTGCCTAATTTGTGGCATCTAATTTCTGTTCCAGCTGACGCCCCTGCCCCAGCTTCCTGATGTGTTTCATTTGCAGCTGTCTGAAAAACTGCTTGAAAAGGAAAAACCCCAGAACCCTGCACAAAGGGATTAACTCCCTAAAAATGATGACATTTAGACCCTCCTGTCCTGTGTTCACACACTGAAATAAGAAATAACAAGCTCTGAGAGCCATACAGGCTAATTTGAACTCTCTTCATAGGCCAAAATGTGGCCTCTTTTATAGGAAACAGCATATGTGGCCTCTTTTATAGGAAACCACTAGAGATAGACTAAAATGATTGCACATGCTGTAGGTTAGAAGCATGAGTAACCCTCATGGGCAGTTAATAAAGCCTACTCTAAAAACAACAGTGCAAAGGTAACTGCTCTCATTTCATCTGGGTTAAACATACTGGTTAGAAAAAATCGCTCACTGACAACAAACTTGGATGAACTGCTTTAATTTTTAGGTCTTCGTGAGCTTTTTTAAGGTCAACCTTGTTCTGCTGTAATATCAGAAAGCAGGGACAAATGATCATTAACAAACCCTGCATTAACAAACCCTGTCATACTTTCATAGCATGTTTGCCTTCCGCCTCTTACTGTTGCTTGTATGTTTGTCCTGATGGGATGCTGCAAATACAACAATGTATTTATCTTCAAGCCATTATATACACTTGTGATAATCATTCCATTTGGTATCTTTTAACATTTCTATTAAATCTTTAGTGGAAACTGCCACATGTCCAAAAACTGAAAACTCTTCTAGAATGGAGTATACTTTTTAACCTCGAACCCTGTGTTCAAGATCCCATTGTGAGTACTATGGACATCTCCACAAAGTACTGCTCTGAAAGTCGGATGACTTCAGAATAATCTGTTAGAGCAGTTGAACAGAACTGTCTCAAGGTTCCAGGAAAAAAAATCCTCCTTTGGAACTGAGCTATTCTGTTTCTGCTTAAAGAGCTGTATTTGCTAGGCTGATTAGGTCTGCAACTGGTTTGCAGTTGCAGCCCAAGTCCTCAAGACCTGCTTCAGCTCCAAAGCAGTTTCACAGACCACTCTGATGAGATACTTTGCCCCTTGACTCTCATCTGTCAGCAGTCCCTTTCCTCTGTTCTCTTCTGTTCTCTTCCCTTCAAGCACCCACTACTTTCTTATTACATTTTTGTTGTGGTTTAACTCCAGCTGGCAACTAAACACCACACAGCTGCTTGCTCACTCCTTGCCCCCACAGTGGGATGGGGGAGAATTGGGGAAAAAAAAGAAAAAAAGGAAAATTTGTGCGTTGAGTTAAAAACAGTTTAATAGGATAGAAAAAGAAGAAAAAATATTATTAATAATGATGGTGCACTATGCAATTGCTCACCACATGCAGACTGATGCCCAGACAGTTCCCAAGCAGTGGCCCCTGCCCAGCTGTCCCCCTAGTTTATATACTGAGCATGATGTCATATGGTATGGAGTATCACTTTGGCCAGTCTGGGTCAGGTGTCCTGGCTGTGTCTCCTCCCAGCCTACTCATTGGTGAGGTGGTGTGAGAAGCTGAAAAGTCCTTGACTGAGTGTAAACACTGCTTAGCAACAACTAAAACATCAGTGTGTTATCAATATTATTCTCATCCTAAATCCAAACCACAGCACTAAACCAGCTACTAGGAAGAAAATTAACTCTATCCCAGCCAAAACCAGGACAATTTTCCACTAGTAAATGCTGCAGAAGAAAAGAGAGAGATTTAGTCTCCCCCTATACTTCTGTACTTTACCTGAAACTTCTCACAGACTCTTCAGGTGAAATGTTTGAGCAGCAACCAAGTTATGCCTCTGCTTTTGGACTATACATTTCCCCAGTACAATGCTGTTCACACACACCTAGCTATGTCTCTTCAGTGGTGCTATTCTCCAAGGACCTGCCATCCTTGCTGTGATTTGGATTCTACCAGTCACACAAAGGGCCCTCAGGCAGAGAGGGGAATAGTTACTCAGAGATAGAACTGGGAACACAGCCCTCAGCTCTTGACCTAATTGGGATGCCACTGTCACATAATCCTCCAGACAGCCAGGTACTCAATCTCTAAAATTTCCTCCCAATAAAAAGTCACTTGTGGACAAGCTCCTTTTCCCATTTCGGCTTCCTGGAGGTGGGATACTCAAGAGTTTGTGAAGGAATTTGCTATTTTTTAGCTCTCTTAGCTGAAAACACTAAGCATTTGCTGGCAATGAATGAATAGAGGGATTTCCATCTTCAAAGTTCCTAGAGGTTTTCATATTTGTAGTTTAAAATAGCATTTTATTTTCTGTATGTAGAAAAGCAACTTTTTCAAAAGGAACAAGATTTTGTCCTTACTCTGCCTTTACTGCTTTACCTTGCGGAAGTTTTCTCTGCTGACACATCGTCCCCACATGGTCCTCCTGCAATCCTGTCAAGGAAAGACAATGAGCAGAGAAATGCCATATTACTTTTCTTTGAAATTTTCTATGTCCCAATCACACAGATTCCTGGGCCTCCCAACAGCATGCTGGGTTGCACGTGGTGAGTAGATGTCTTCATCAAAGCAATTAGCAAATGTATCTGTGATTAAAACAAGACATGGCTAAGCCAGCAGTTCTGTAAGACCAGACCCAAATAGTAGTGTCACGGGAGTATATGTAGATCTATTCTTGAGCCTGCTCTTTGCCTTGCTATAAACATACAAACCAGACACTGGGCCTCTGACTATGAAGGGGTGGGATGGGGCAGGCCAAGGAGCTCCATACAGACTGAGCGTTCTCCAGGTGAGGTAAGTACAGAGGGAACGAGATACAGTGGTTTTACTTTCATGTGACCATATTTACCTATCCACTGTCACTCAGTCCCCTTGACCCCCTTGGCATTAATGGGTGAGGAGCAATACCTGTTAACAACAGCTATCTTACAGAGCACCATTCCAACTTTAGCGATGATACTGACAGCATCCTCTGCTTTCAGACATCTTTAGAGACCTGAGAAGTGCTGATTAGGGCTTACAGCTAGTGTGTGTGTACTCCAGAGTGGTGTTTTGTACAGTCACAACCTGCTTAATCAGAGATTTCCAGTTCTCTGCTGAGCAGAGGGAAAACTCTAGACCTCATACCCCCAAGAACATGTTCTTGCTTAGTTAGCACTAGCCTATCCTTAAGTGCAAGCCTGTCTGCCCAAACACTCTGACAATCCCTTTATCTAACTCCTGTGTTACAAAAACTTCCTACTGGGCTGCTGTCATGTCCATAGCTGCCTTTGGCAACATAGCATGGTCCTGGCATACATTATGTAAGCAAAGTCTTGCTGCCACAGGATGAGCTTGGTACATTAAAACATGCTTAAGAAAGGTGAGACACATCACTGTCTCCTCTTTTCATAAAGACTAGCAGCCCTGAAACATCTCCACTATTATGTGCCTCCCCATGGTCTCAAGATGAAAAGGTGCCCTACTGGGTCCAAGGCAGTTGGAAGTTCTAGAGGATGTAAACACAAAACAGAGAGCAGAGCTGTGTTGCTCTGCTTGACCACTTCAGGAATTTACACAGCAAGGCTGCTGTTATCCCAGTGACAGTGAATCCTTCTTACTATGTAACTATGAGTTATGGCATCCCAAATGGAATGTGGACAGCCTGTGTTAAAGGATGGTAACTGGGACTCATCTTAAGACAGAGCAGGGCTGCCACACATACAGTTCCATACCCAACTTGGATCTGTGGAGTCTGTCTCCTATTGAGAGTCTGAACATACGATCCATATCCAATAAGGGAGTGGACTTGCAGCTACATTGGCAGTGTGCTGCCACTAGAGCATGGAGTGTGTCCGGGCCATGTTCCATTCTATGTTCAATATTTGATTTGCAGGTTATCCGCCATAAGCAGAACTTTTTGGCTTACAGCCATGCAATAGGATAAGTCACTGGCACTTAAGTGTTTGATATTATTTTTAGCACATGAAGATGATCACAATTCTCTAGACAGCAGACGGCCAGATCTCCACTGCAATTGCTTGGGACACAACCCTGTCACCCCTTCATCTTGGCCTCTGCACCTAGCCAGAGTGCAGGATCAGCTGCATCCCTGCAGTAGAGAACAATCCCTTTGTGTGTCAGCATCCACTCTGTGCCTCTAGCACCATCTTCCCAGAAAAAGCTGAGAATCAGAGATGACTAGACTAGATCAGTGGTCTTGTTTCAATCCTAGAACAACCTGCCCCTATAAACATTTCAGTGGCTAGTCAGCTCTAGATTATGTCCACCTATCCAGAACCATTTCCAACCTGATACAAATCAGTAACTTTTCTGTTCTTAGAGATGGGTAGAGGACAGGGAGGGGACTTATATGGGTTCAGGGACTAAGCTTCCAACCACATGCAAGTGCTGTTAAGCACTTCCAGGGAACAGAGGAGCTCCAAGCAGCACCCTCAAGCTTTTACATCAGCAGCCAAACATCTGTAATTCTCCTCCACAATGGCAAAGAGAAAGGATGGTAGTATAAAAAAACACTGGTGAGTGGCTGAATCACATCTAGCTCTTGTATAATCTACAGCTGCATGAAACACTGGAGAGAGGACTTTTGCTTGTCTACCACCTTGTGGTACCACTACCCAGCATCTGAGATCACCAAGCAGGCCACTGGTCAGACTATCATTCAAATGCCAGTCTCTAGGCACAAAGATTTTAGATCTGGCTGGCTAGATTCTCTTGACCAGCAGAACTGCGAACGTACCATGAATCCTAAGATGATGGCCTGTCAGATTTTAAAATCCTGCATGGTACAATTTCCTCCAACACAGACATGATCTCATCTGTTGGTATATTTTCCTGTTGGGTTAGAGGATGTGGCTTTGATAACACTACTAAAATGCCTACTTTGCTTTCACAGGTAGAAAGGTCATCAGTGAGATAATTATGGATAAAAGCAATACAGGCTGGATACTGCTGGGAGACTTAACCCTGTTCTTTAACACTGCCCATTCCAAAAAGGCCTGTCTTCAAAGTGAACTCAACCCTCTCTCAAATAGTACATCAAGGTCGTAAAGAATAGTATTTTCTATTTTAAACCCAGGACTTTTAAAGTTATGGTGAAGGCTCTCAAAGGCCATCTGCTTCACTGCTTCTAAATAGCACTGGGGAAAGTGTCCATCTTGACTATTTACAGTAGCTGTACATTGACTGGCAGCATTATGATCTTTACCACACTAGCAGCTAACTAGACATTTTTCTAAACAGCCTGTAGGAAGTTTGAACTACTTCTTTCCCACACCAGCACCTGTACTATCCTCGATCACAACTCACTCAAAAGCCAGCTTGAACTAGTCAGGGTCAATAGGTATGGAAAAACAAAAAATTTGGAGTAGGAGTACCCGTTCAGTAACAAGGGCTCTGCTATCTTAACCATTTGGAACACTATTAATCTGGTAGAGAAGCTTTTTTGTGTTCGGCATGTCTCTTCAAAAACTACTATGATTAAAACCCACTGGTAAAAGTAGAGAAAGGATGTGCTAAGTTAACTGAGCATGTGATAAAGTAATACTTCTTGCAATTTCATCTGAGGTCCAGACAGCCAAAGAATACAACTGCAGGAACACTCGATGCAGAGTTTAAAACATGTTCTCTTCTATGATCTGCAGTAGCTGGAAGGAGATTATCTTTATTAACATACCTTTTGAAAAATAAAAAGACAACTTACATCATCTTTCCAACAGGAATTTGAGGTTCCAGAGAGAAATGCAGCAAGTTGTTTTATTGTAATAATTTGTCTCTCTATTTCAAACAGATAAAGGTGGATACCAAAATGAAGTGCTTTTAATACCATACTCGTAACTCCAAAGGCCCAGGTATCTTCTCAATGCAGAGCTCAATGAAGTTAAAAATGAAGTTTAGGTCCTGCTGCTAGCAAGGGAAAATGTCTTTATAGGTTATGGAGGGCTCTTCCTAGATTGAGAATTCCATGTAGGACATAGGACTAACACACAGATCACCAATATCAACATCTGGGTTAAGGACAGGCTTCTACTTTTCATTGCAGAACAAGTGAGACAACAGAACCTCTCGAGACGAGGAAAATATTATTCAGCCTTAAGCCTGAATACAGCCTACTGTATTCAATAGATCGAAAAAGTTACCAGTCTTGATGTGAGCTGTAACCAAATCCTTGTCAACATACAGAACCGCTGTTGTGCAACTTAAATAGAAATCAGTCTGACTCATAGCCCAACTCCAACTTAAGGACTGTTGTAATTTCATCGTTTCTCCAGTTTTTTGTACTTGGCTTCTGCAGAAGGAAAAATAACAATATTTTAGGACTGGATACGTAACAGCTTTGAATCCTGTAAGCTGCAAAACTTCTTAAAATCCAAGTTAATTTACAGTATCACTGAGGATCATTTTTTTACTAAAGCATTTAGGCAAATACAATTGTACAATAAAATTTTTAAGAACTAGATGCTTAAGTCAGACAACTAATATTAATTTAAGCCAAGGGGACTTGGGCGCTTGGTGGAACTTTATGAATCCCTCTATTTGCAGCATTAAACATCTGTCTTTAAAATTTGGGTCAGTGCCTATCGTAAAAGAGAAATCAAGCCTCACTAATAAGCTGTAGTTCAATAATAACCGTACCAGTCCATCTCCATATAATTTGTTATATTAATCTTTTTACAGCGCCTACTACTTCACATACAATGTTCATTGTTTAAAAGCAGCCTAGACAACTCTGCAACTCAGATTTGTTAAAAACAGTTTTCTTTGTCTTTTTAAATCTCCTTGCAAGGGACTATGCTGCTAGGTAGTAACAGTAGAGGACAATAGTTACCAAGTTTTTTGGAATACGCGTCCAATTTATAAGCTGCCTGTTCCAGAGCTGCAACCTGTTCCTCAATTAGATTGATTTGTTCCAGATATGGCTGAAGAGCAGCATCTTAAAAAAGTAGAAAAATCGTATCTGTCAGTTCTCAGTAATCCACTTCCAAGAAACAGTTCACACTTGAAACACAAGAATTTCTCATTACATTCTTCAGATAGAACAATTTAAAAGATCCTTCCTTCCTCTGCCCCAAAATCAAGTGGTGATACTGATAGCTATGTTCCAGGAAAGTATGAAACACTTAAGAGTATTAGATAGACTCAACACAAGTAGCAATAAAACATGAATCAAAGTAAGTGTTATTTCCTATCAGAGCCAACAAGACATAAATTCAGATGTGTTTTCTCTTATGCTAGCCTACATTGTCTGTAGCTGTAAAGAAATATACAAGATTGGCACTGTATAGCAGCATCTCCATTCCAGTGAGCTTTCTTTCCCTCAGCACTTAATGGAGCGTGAACTATCTGACTCTTAGATGCTTCATTTCCCAAATGAGTGTACTGTTCATTATACCCCTACCTTATTTGGTTTACTTACATTTTTGATTTAAATCCTTCAGATTTCTACTGATGTTTATAGCAATATCTTTCATTTCTAGGTACTTCAAGCTAGTCAGCTTATTCATGTTTTCCAAGAGTTTGTAGTCCTCACTGGTGGCTTAAAAAGAATAGACTATTTTACTTAAAAGTTGATGCGGTTTTGAATTGGGTGCAGACTCTTCAAGAGGACAAGAGATTTCAAAACAATAGCCAAATGTAACAAAGAATAGTTTATATGGTAATACAGGTATTACAATAATGCTCTATAAAAACAGAGATGACATTTTGTGAACTGTAAAAATCAACTGGACTGATGAATACTTACTCTTTTGCAATATTTTTTTAAGACCAAAATTGACTGATTCTCCACATTCCTACTCTTATTCTGTCAGTTAAACAAGTTTACAAAACTGATAGCACAAATCCACACTGGTAATCTGTACCATTTACCCTTCAAATCTGTGAAAAATCAGTAGTGCTGCGGAGTACTTTCAAAATTAGAGCATATGGAATCCACTAACTTGTTGAGCAGTCCTCCAGTTAATGCTGCACAGTTTATTCTAAAGCATGAATGTTGGAAAACGTATGATCTTTGTTCTCACTCAGAAACAAAACAGCTGCACATTCCACTCTCAGTTGTGCTTCTCTTCTAGTCTCTTAACCTAGACCCCTTTTGTTTGTTTTTCCACATACAAGCTTCTGCAAGACTAAAACTAATTTTTTAAAAAGCTGTTGATATCATACTGAATTATTCTGAAAAATATTTGTGCTATTCTGAGACTTCATTAGTATGACTAATTTTAATGTTGCTAGTAGCCTAGCAACATGCCAGACTTGATCTGCCAGTCTTGCTAGATATGATCTAAATAGGTATAGTTTAGACAAACTACTCTTTAAAAGAAAATTAAAGGAAACAAAAACTTACTTGGAGGTCAGTATTACATTGCCTTACCTGTCAGTTCACCCGTTAAATAAGTGGCCATTTTGCTGAACATGTCTTTACAGAGTTCATTGATGTCTGCCTCTGCTGGTTCCTTAGCTTCCTCTGCTGTTTCAACAGCAGGATCCTCTAATCAGGGTAGACATTACAGGGTTAGGGGAAAATTAGCAGACACCAAATTGACTAGACCTACTTTCCATGTAAGTTGTCTACACTATGGAGTAACAAACCCAGGCAGTTTCCCTGAAGAAGCATCTTAGTTATTTCAAAATAATACTTTTGGGAGCATTTAAGAGACAGGCACCTGGCCTGACTGCACTTGCAAATAACAGCCCCCTCCTGTGCTTAGATGTCAGAAAAGGAATTTGGGGAGAACTTGAGTGACTTTGTGCACAACGCTACTAATGTTTATTTCTAGTCACTGATTCAAAACAGAACCGCCCTCACAGTCCGTTTCACGAGGGGCTACAACAGATCCCCACCTGTGGAAAGCTATAATCACTGCTTTTCTTCTCCAAACCCCTCTCTTAACACAACCCGCCCTCGTTCTGCTCTTCGCAGGAGCAGTGCAGCACCTCTTCCTCAACCGGACAGGTTGCTCTTCCCTCTGTCCGCATCTTTTACAGGTTCTGAATGCAAAGGCTGCCCCGAGGCCTGCGGCTCCCTCCGGCCGAAGCAGCGGCTCAGGAGGCTGACAGGCAGCGGGGGGTCAGCCCCTCGCGGTACACAGCCGCCGGCCGGCCGACATAGGCGAAGCCGCACGCCCGCCCCGCAGCCGGCCCACCACCTTCCCCGCCGCGGGGCGGCTGCTGCCCCGCCGGGCGGCTCCTCCCTGCGCCGCGCCGGGAGTAGGCCGCGTCCGAGCAGGGCCCGGCCACAGCCGCGTGGCCACAGCCGCGTGGCCGTGGCCCCGGCCCCGGCCCCAGTCCCGGTCCCGGCCCCGGCCCCTTACGCTTAGCGGGCTGCGCGCCAGCCTCGGGCAGCCCCTCCGCCGCGGTCGCCATAGCGACAGGCCCCCTCCCGCGGCGCCCGCTTCCGCCTTCCACCCCGCGCAAGGCCGTAGCCCCGCCCCTCGCCACCGCGGCGCATGCGCGACTGCGGGGGCCGAGGCGGCGGCGGAGGCCGAGGCGGGCCGCGGCCCCGGGCGGTGGGTGCTGGCCGGCGGGGGGTAACGCTCCGTGACCTGACGGGGAGCGGGCCGGGGCTCGACAGCCGCCCCGCGCGTAGATACGGGGCCTGCTTCCCTTCCCCCGCCTCCGGCCGCGTCGTGAGGAGAGGCCGCCGCTACCGCGTACGGCAGCGGTCTGATCGGTGGCAGCCTCGGTTGCGGCAAAAAGCAAGAGTAAACAGCCTTCGTCACGGCAGGAGGAGAAAGACAAACACCGAGATGGAAAACGTGTCACGAGTTTACTTTTTACCAGTTGTAAAAGGCAGAGAAGCAGCACAGAAAGAGCACGGTTTGTGCTTGCTGTGGTTGTGCTGTCGGGTTGATTGCTTCCCACTTTCAAACCACAACTGAACCATTTATTGCAAGAGTACCAGAAGCACTTTCCCACAGCAGGCCCGTTTCAAGGGCTGTTGTTAGCCCGGCTCTCACAAGCAAACTCCAATCTTGTGTTTGAGAAAGTTTTTCTTTGGTCTTAGCTAGTCTACTTGCCCCTGAGGGTCATAAGGCAGCTTAAAAAAAGCTCTGCCTTTGTTAATGTAAGTGTTGAAGAGACAACTGCTGGCACACTAGTTTGTCCTGTGACTGCAGTAAGCGTTGCTGTAGGTGCCCCAGCAGTGTCTGCATGGTTTTTCTCCGTCCATAGTATAAGTAGCTCTATATATAGATGGTGCAGCTAAGCGTTAAGTCTGTTAAAAAAATCTGCCATTGCTACTATACAAATACTTTTTTAAAAAAGAAAACCGTAATTTCCTCTCAAGTAGTAAATGTAGTTTTGGCTGTTGGTAGGTTTTTTGCGGGGAGGAGGGGGTTTGGCTGGGTTGTTTGGGGTTTTTTGCATTACAACAGTATATATTTCTCACTCTTCATAGATGAACTAGTCTTACTAGTTTCCAATCAAGCAAAAGTTGTTTCTGCAAGTATCTTCCACTGAGGAGTTACTAGAATTATAACTGTTCTTGCTTGGCAAGGAATGCTCATTCCCTGTACTGACTTCAAACTCAACTGCAGCTGCAGCATGCTGTGAATGGTCTCTGGTTCTCCTCCGATGTGACAGGCACTAACCAGTGGCAATATATCAATACACAAATGCCATCATCACCTTATATCATTTGTGATGGAGAAGCTTATATAGTCAAAGGAAAATTATTCCCTTATACAGGAAATGTTCAAAGTTGGTCACAGAAGAATAATGCTGTACAATATATAGTTCGATACACACCTCAGGAATTATGAGAATTATATTCCCTTACAAAAAAAAAAAACCAACACTTATTCAATGCACATTAATGCAATTCTTCTTAAAAAATAAAATCATACAATCATGTGGACATCATACTCCAGAAACAAGGGGACAGGGTTCCCATCTGAAGTCCAGTAAAGTCAGTTGAAATCTTTTGGTGATCTCCAGTAGGCCCTAACAAGCTTTGCAGTTTTAAGACTGGAGCAGCTGCAAAGCAAAGCAAGGCAGGAGTCTATGTGAACTTTCTCATAAAACGGAGTTTTGCATAGGCGATAATAAGGAAGATAACAGTCATGCAGAAGAGAGCCACTATGTTTTCCCACATTGCCCAGTTGGTAGGTGCAATTCCTTGGCTGCACAGGTATGCTTCACCAGAACACCTGCAGAAAAGCATGGGGCAGAAGTTGGTACATGGTACAAGTCTTCAGGTCATTAATTTTATTCCTGTTCCACAAAGATTTTTCTACCCTCAACTCTACGAACAGGTGACAGAACTAGAGTAACTTCATAACCTATCACTAAAAAGGGACAAATCTAGATGTCTGGTTCTCTTAATTTTTCAGTACTATCCTAATTGTTGTTTTTAGATAGATGGCAATTTATAAGCAAATCTCAGAACCACATTAAACAATGATAAGTACAAAAGCATTAGTTTTACCCAGGAATCACTGGAGGTCCATAGCAGGAGTTTGGGGTTCAAAAGCTGTGGAAACAATGCTCTGGCACTGTTCCCTGCAACAATCTCAGTTTGCCAGCCCTCTAGCATATGTCATGAAATACTTGCATGGCTACAACTTAAGGTATCAATAATCAAGAGTATTTCAAATGGGGTGGTATCACTGGGAGATACCTTGGCTCTCTGCTGTATCTGCAGGGAGGTTAATATTTACAAACAAGCTCTGAGGAACAGGCATGTTTTTGATCACAGGTCTGCTTCTTCCCAACAACTTTGTCACTGTCCACACATTTCAATTCCATTGCTAAGTGACTCTAGGTTTGTTGAAGAAAACTGATAAGCCAGGGCTAGGTTACAAAAAACAAAATTTAATTTAGCTCATCTGCATATTTTTAGGACTAAAGTTCCATCCCTACTTCACTCTTGGGTAATTGTGAAGTTTTACTATATAATCCTAAAATGCATTATTTTGCACATATTGAGACAGGCCTATGAGTGGTTATTCTGTGAATAATATAAAAATTTGAAACAGTCAGACTTCTCTTTAAGCAAGCTATCACAATTCAGGCCCCAAAATCACCATGAGTTAGAAACTTACATTTCTCCTGAAATATCAGGGGGACAACTGCCTCCATCTCCCACAGACGCTGTAGCATTTGGATTATTCTCATTACAGAAGTAGAGATCCCTGAACTCATTCACTTGGAGAGCCTAGGGAAAGAGCAGACATCAGATTTTTACAGAGTTAGTGGTTTGGGGTGCTAACACTGAAACACCTCAAAGGAACTTGCTTATTAGAAGACACATATCACCATTCTTGTAATCGTATGTTTATGTTCCTTTTTGTTTTGAAGCTCTTATTCACTGCCTTTCTGAGGAACTGCTCCAAGTTCTACATGCAGGATGGTTTGATGTCTTGAGTCTTTGGCTTCTAAGTTACATTTCAGTGATTTAGCCATGGGTTTATGTCTTGACAGCTAAAAGTTCCTGTTCATTCACTTTCATATGGGTCAATCTACTGACCCAGAAGACCATGTGGCTGTGTGCAGACAGCCCAGCACCAGCACCCTGAAGCAGATGGCACAGTCAGCCAAGGTAAGAGGGGAAGGGTTCCCTTGCTCTGGCATCCTGAGGTAACTGCAGTCTCAGGGGGCACTTCCACCTTCAGCAACACTCAAAATATCTCAATGATACCAAAACAGAGGAGGTCTCACACATCACACCCCCTCCTTGATCCTACCTTTCCCTTCCACTGCTGGTCAACATGGTCCTGCTGACACCACCCTGCACCAGCTCTGGCATTCATTTCACTCATTTTTACTCAAAGGTAGGAAACATATTCCTCCCAAATAAGCTTGGCCAGGATGAAGATAGGAGATGGGAAGAACAACTCCCACCTGTCACCAGTGGGTGACCTGCTATGTCTAGTTACTGTATTTCAAGCAGCTGCACACTTAGCTTTCTGGTACCCCAGCTCCTTATTCTTCAGAAATAGCAGTAAATCACAGTTCACTTCAGAGGAAGCCACACTGAAGACTGAGACACTCAGGCATTACGGTAAATCCTTTAACCAGCTGGGCAGTCATTAGCCTCAGACTGGCCACCCAAACAGTAGTCTCTGGAGAGGCCATTCAATATTTGACTTTATTCTAAATCATAGGGATCAACTATTTGTGCTAGGAATTAGTGCCCCACTGGACAACAGCTCACTCTGCTGCTGTCCAAGCAGCACTGATTTTGTGGCACGGAGGTTTTGTTCAGTCTCTGAGACTTCAACCTCTCACAGAGAGATTAACTTTTGCATCCTTTTTGGGGATGTATGGTTCGTTCTTCTTTTACTATGTTCATGCAAAGAAAGAAACCAAATCTGACTTTTAAAGAACTTAATTATACTCAAAACCTCTCCAGGAAGCAGCAGCGTGGCTACATGGCACAGGAGACTGATGCTAGTTTCTACTCACAGTGAGGCCGTATCGGGGGATGCTGAAGTACTTGAGCCAGTTCAGCCAGCCCATTACAGAAGGGAGGTTTACTAAGAGGCCTGAAAAGATCTGAAATAGAACAGAAGACACAATAAGTCACAAACTGTTTACTGCAAATAAGCCATTCCTGCAGATACTGCAGTTGCCCAGCAGAGGTGCACTGGGATAGATGGACCTGCTACTGCTGTTATGCCTCTGCCTACAGGCATTAAGTTCAAACCTTGCAGCAGTCCCAGCCAGCTGGCCCAACAGCACACCCAAGTACTCCAGTTGAACTGCTTGCAAAGAGGTCAGAAAGGTTTTCTACATCCACATGTGAGCTAAGAAGCACGCATGCTAACAGCTTCTTACTCTGGAGGATGGTAGAGCTAGCCAGAGGCTAAGGAAGGATGACTGGGAGATGAGGAAGTAAAGAAACAAGAAGAAAACCATGGGAAGGCCTAAGGCCCGTTTCTGTTTCAGCTTTCTCCTCTGACCGATATTTTTTATCTGTGCTTTCTGCTACCTGGAACAAGGCTTGCTCTTTTACTTCTCAGCACAATTTTACTTCATAGCTAAACATGACGCTTCAGGCTGTGATTCATCACAACTGTTTTTGTGCGTACCTTGCTGTCTTTCAGGATGCGCATGTGCCATTCCTTATATACTGTGACTTAACTCAATGTACATCAGCTGCCCTTCACTATGCATGCAGACTTCTCACCCACAGAGAGCATTTGAAGCAATACACTGTCACTTAGCTTATTGCAAAAGTAGGTTAAGTTTCAAATTAAAGAATAAGGGATGCACTGTAAGCTCAAAATATGACAAGACAGCTACCAGCTATCACGTGACATGGGGTACTTTTCACGCCAAGGTAACTTGATTGGCCTCACAGTCAAGAAGTTTCATCATTAACATTATCTCCTTGAAAAAGAATTCACATCCCTCATCTACAAGTAGTCAAAACTCCTTTCTCACTTGCTATCTTCCTTAGAAGTCCTTGAAAAAGAGTATCTGAAGTAATTTCTGGAACCCAAGGGCAATAATGAATTAAAATAAAGTGTGGGTATGCTCCCGCTAATTCCACTGGGCAACAAAAATTAATGCAATAAAATCAATCAATCTAAAGTTTATTTCAAGATTTTTTCCTTTTAAATGATTTACGTGATCACTTAGATTTCTTATACCGGAAATGCAAGATTTTTTTAAAAAACATTTTTTGTAAGGACAATTTAGAAAAAAAAACCAACAACACTTTTTTGGGGGCACACTGTTTGCAAAGCTCTGATGGCATCACACCTACTGAGTTGCACCTAAGCAATGATTTGACCCTTAGATTACAAACTGGGAGAACTACATCTTTGACTATAGTGACAATGAAATCACAGGCATGGGACTGACATGCTACTGACTGGGGATTCTCAGCCTGCTTATGTCTGGCTCAACTCAGTCCTCTAAGTCTGTCTCAGCTGCTTCCTCACCTCCACACACCCCCTTATATACTTACAAGCATCAGGACAAAACAAATAGTAATGAGCAGATTGGCCACAGCCACCACATCCATCCCAGCACTGATAGCCAGAGACATGGCTGTGGCAGTGTAGGACACCAGTACCAGGGTCAGCATGAAGAAGAAGAACCGGCCTGCAACAGCTTGGTAGCCTGTCAAAAGACAGAAAGAGTCCAGTAAACAACCACATTATGAATTCAAGAGAGGTACCCTTAGACTTGTATACAAGACAGGGAAAGCAGGAAGAATGATCAAGTTCGGAGTTGGCAGGAACTCTGCATGCTCCAAAGGCCCAAAGAACATTACTGAAAGATGTAGTCAAGCAGGTCCCTGTCTTAAGATTGGTGGTGTCTCTGCCCCTGCCCCATAGTCCTCTCCAAAGGTATGATGCCAGGCACTTAAATCAGTTGAAGGTTCAACTAGTTTCGTGTTATAGATACAGGAATTAAACTCTGGCTAAGTCAAAAAATCAAGTATGTTGAAAGATGACAGGTTCAACAAAAGCATCAATTCTTTACCAATCATCCAGTAACTGATGCATGAGAATATGATGGCTGGAGCAGTTCTCATGGGCAGCAGATCTCCTATCATCAAGGCCAGGAAGTAGGCAGACACACGGTAATATCCACTGGTGTACTGATGGCTGCAAGGACAGGAAGGAGGGGAGTTGTACAGGTTTGGAGGTTATCTAAGAAGGAGGCTCAGAATGTGTGTCTGGTTTATCCTGGTTTGGTTTCTGTTCTCTCCACCGCTGACTCCTCTATATGCAAGTTGCTTATTTTCTCTGTGCTATCACTTCCCACTCTGTAAAGTAAGGGCTGATCGATCTCACAGGCCCTGCAGTCATACTGAGAGCCCTCCAAGGAAAGTGAATGAAAGTCTATTGGCAAAAAGCTCCTAAATCTCTTTTCAAAGGGAATGATCCTTAACCCAAGAGCATGGGAAAGTATTAGACTGCTTCATCCACACCAAATTCATACAGCTGCTTCCAGGGGAGAAGGAATGATACCCAAAAATGGGAAAACACCTTTAGGACATCAACTCACCTCCAGTTCACAGGGCAATTAAATGTCATTATGATTGTTTTGCTGCTTAATGTAGCTCATGAAAAGATGCTTTAATTGGTGAGGTGCCAAAATCCCCATTGACACAGCTGGTAAACTGAGCTGGTAAGCAGGGCAGACTGGTAAGAAATGTCAGTGTGGGGGAGATCCACAATGACAATAGGGCAGTATTAAGCTGCTCTGAGCAACCTGTAGGTAGACACATGCATTCCAGGCACAAATCTTCAATTTCTTCTTTGCTGCATATGATCTGTCTCTTGCCCTTTCATTCCATGAGCTAGAGGCTATTCCAAACTACATTTTCAACATATATATATATACACATCTGTGTATGTAATACATACATGAATTTACATACACAAATACATATACATATATAGAGAGAGACAGGGAGATGTGCTTGATTATTAGGGAGCTCTTGTAAGCCAGCCAGCAGCCCACTCCATCTGAGGATCCCTTGCGAAGCTTTTCCAAGAACTCCCCCTTCACCTTTGCACAGTCTTACCACTTTAGGACCTTTGCAAGACAGGGTTTCAACCCTGTCAGCAAGAGAGCAGGTGGGGTTCACAGTCTGCAGGATTCACATGCAGACTTCAAAAACAGCTGTTACCAAAAGTGGGTAAGAAAAACATTTCTCAATAAACAGCAAGCAAGCACAAGCATTTTATTTCTCCCCTCACTCCCCCATCTCTTAGCATTTCAGCTCCCTGCTCTACAGGCCAATTTAGCATTACTATTACAATCTGATGTTGCAAGGGAGCAATCAAGTCTTTGGTGGAAATAATTTTGTTTAGCCTGTAATGTAATCCCCCCGCTTCACTTCAGGGTGTGAGACAGTCTAAGTGCCTTACTGCTTACACAAATAGTTTCTTGTCTCTGATGAACAGCTCAATTGCAGAGACACTGGAAAAACACTGGTTTGTGGTGACAAAAAACAAGGATCCAACCCTAGAAGGCAAAACAGAAAAGTCAAAAAGTGAGAAAATGGCCTAGATCAACACTGGCAGCCTCAGACATCATACCACCAAGTCAGTGCTCTTCTGTCTCTGTCCATAGAATAGAAATATTTAATTGTGCTACTGTATATCTTAGCTGTAAAACCAGGTTTACTCCTTTATCTTCCCTTTCACATCTCCATTGTAAGTATGTGCCAGCCCAACAGAGCTGCAGTCCCTTTAGGACTTCCAGCAATCCATGCTGCAGCGTGTTGAGGCTTGCAAACCCAACCCTCCTTTGTGGTCCAAGAAGATCCCAAGGCCTTCCCCTGTGGCTGAAACCTGTCTGCTACAGATAGAATAATTACCAAAGCTACAGCTTTCCATCTTACCGATTCTGAATGCCACTTCTATCCAATTTTACACCGAAAAAGATAGCACCCACAACCAAGGCTAGAATTATGGTCACTGCAATCTGGAAGTAGAAAGGAAAAAGGGAAAAGTGAATCCTTCAGATAAGTAAATAGGGACAAAATTATTATTAAGGCTTATGCAGGGTTTAAGATTCACACCAGCCTAAAACTTTGCTGTTGTGAGTCAGTGTATACGTATGATACACACAATTAAAAGCCTTATGGCAAATTTTCCAAGTTTATCCTCTTCACTTTTCTCCTTCTGACTTTCTCTGCCTGAGAAAGGTTAGAAGTACACTCATAGAATAACCCAGCTTAAAATTTCAAGTGAGGCACAAAATTAATGTCACCCTAGAAGCTCCCCATAAGAATCAAAGAATGGAGCATTTCTGCCCCACTCCCTAATTTTCAGTGCAGTGCACCTTGTGCTAAACCAAAATAGAGATTTTTTTTTTTTTTTTTTTTTTTTCAAAGGCAACTGAAAGTTCCTGGGCATCTCACTCCACTTAAATGGCAGTGTCACAAGACTTCTTTCCCTAGATGCCCTTGAAAACAAAAGTCTGTTCTACAAACTGCAGATTGCGGGACTGAGCAGAGGGAGTCTGAGACTTTTAGCAACTGTTACCTACTTGTGCAATAGAGGCCTGCGGGTTCCTGATGAGGTTTTTCAGGGAACGCTTGGACACCCAGTACAGCTGGGTGAAGAATCCATTTGCATAGGTAATCTCATGCTCCTTCTCAGATATTCTCTGCCTGCTTCCCTGTCCAAGCTCCACTTTCCCCAGTGCTTCTCTTGTGCTCTGATACAGGCTGGAGTTGAGGTATTTCTGGTGCAGCAGATCTACCACATTGTTGTCCACATTTCCTTCTGCCACTCCATTTTTATTGCTCACTTCTGAGTGAGAAAGACAAGATATGGTTTGTGATTCCCCATGAATCCTACCTTCAGACATGACCATCAACACGCTCAGCAACTTTGGAAGTTGAATAAAAAAGCAGGAATGCTCAGAGAATTTGAGTTGTTCAAGCCTTAGTTCTGGGTTTAAGAGGCTAGTTTGAGTGAGATGGTTTCCCTACAGTTTTAATCGAACCTAGCTAATCTGCCTGTCTTTTGTGACACAAAAATGATATATTCTTAGAATGAGGCACCAGAAAACCTTTGTTTCACTGAATTTTGGGGAAATCAATGTTTGCTCTGATCCTTTCCTCATACATAAAAAGCAGCATTACAAAAACCGTTCCCTCATAATCCTTCAGTTATGGATATGCTACAGCATCCCCAAATAAATATTTCCCACCATTTCACTCACTACATTTTTAGAGAGTTTGTTCTCTAATCGAGTTCCAGTCTCACTGCTCTGTAAATCCATCACTCCTTAGCCTATCTACCCTGTCTTCTCTGCAGCAGAGCAGCCTCTTACATGACTGAAAACTTCAGTCTTCTGTCAGCTGTCTCATGAGACTAAGCAATTCTAGATTTTCAGTCTTTCCCACACAGGTTTTTTAAATTACTGATGTTTATCACTGCTCTCCTATATTACTGAAGGAAGAAAAAAATCCCTTTAAAAAGTTTTCTGAGCTCTTTAAAGAAGCTCAAAGCTAAGTATAACTATTAGTAAGAAAAATAAAAAGATAATGAAGTGCCCTTAGACTGGAAGAAACCCAGAGAATAAAAGCTTGCCATCACCACATAGAGCTTCCCTTCTATACCAGCCAACAGTGGATACCTCCTCCTGTGTCCACAGGTCTGTGATCTTCCTTGCTTGCTGCCACAGCAGTTGAATCACCATTTATGATATCAAGGAAGAAGTCAGCTGGATTGTTGAAAGGTTCACACTCATATCCTTAAAAAAACCCAGAAAACCCACATACATGTTTTAATTGCACAGAGCACAGCTTGGAAGGACAGGTCTAATACTGTATCACTATTCCACAACGCTGTTACAAGAAAACTTCACTGCTTTCCATACGCATTAATTTACAGAAGTAGAATGGACAGGATTTAGGAGATGGTGAATCTGAGGTATCTGCACAGAACTTCAAAGTTGCTTATTCTGCACTGATTTCTCAGCATGGACAACTCTTGCCTCCTTCCCTGTGCTGTTCAACCACATCTCACTCTGAAAGACACACAATTCCTTGGTAGAGGTTGCTGAATGTGTTCTCTACAGCCTCAGATGCTTGCTCTAGAAGCTCAACTCTTGCTTGTGTTTCCTTGGTCACAAGGAAGAGGAAAGGCCATCCAAGAACGACTGCTTATAATATGGTTCTAGTTATGGAACAAGGAGGAAAGATAAAAAAAAAAAAAAAAAAATAGAGATGCTTATTCTGTAGCATTCCTTTGAGAAAGGAAGTGAGGTGGGATACTAAGGAAGAGTAGAAGTAGTGAGATTGGTTAAAGCATCTCCCCTAATGCCAAGGAAAGCTTACAATCAAATGTGTCCATGGCTGCATCTAGACTAGACTGGAAATTCACATTCTCTGTCCATTATAGTCAGAAACCCTTACCCTGCTTACTTGGAAGGGGGGCAGCCACCCAACAGTGCAATTATTCACCCATCTTAAGACACATGATTTTGTGTTCTTGGTCACCCACCTGCATTCAGACTAGAGTAGATTCTTGGATCAGCCCCTCCAGATTGCTGCCAATCTGCAGGCTGTTTTTCAAAACCCACTGGGTCTGCCACCTAGGCCCGGTAGAACTACAAGCATAATCTTGTCTGTTGTGCATCATGCTTCTAAATGAACAAGCGATTCTTGGCTTTTGTCCTGATGCAAGGCAAAACAAAGGTGGGAGAGAGCCATGCTCTGTGTTGACTGAAAAATTTCATTTTTATAATTTTGTTTTCTTCCTGTTCTAACATAACACTGTTCAGACTCTACTATCCTAGTGATAAACCAGCACAGGACACTTATCCAGTGCTAGGGTAAGAATCTACCCACAGATTAAACTCATTAGGCAGTTGCCTTTGTGCTTGGCACTGAAGACTTACCAATAGAACTGAAGTACTCCAGGGCCTGCTTCGCAGGACCATGATACAGCACCTTTCCCAAAGCTAGCAATGTCAGACTGTCAAACAGCTTGAATATGGAATAGCGGGGCTGATGGATGGAAAATATGATGGTTCGCCCTCTTCTTGAGAGCCTGAAATAAAAACAAAACATCTCTCAAATACACCACACTTTGCATTTCAGAAAGGTCATGTTAACCCAAGCAAAAAGTAAGTATCAAAATCTAAGACAAATATTTCTCAACTTCTCAGGGTCTTGACCCAGAAAAGCTGTAGTTCCCCCTTCTCTGTCACTGTGTCAGATGCTGCCTGCAAGACCTTCAAGACAGCACCCATCATTACAAGAGATCATCATTGCAGTGCAGGTAGACAAAGTATGATGTCTGCAGCTAGCAAAGGTTGAGGACAGCTGTGTATAAATCCTCCTTGCATGTTTTATATACCAAGCTTTAAGCTAACTGGAACTGTCCTACTGCACTCAATGGCAGTACCAGGCTTTACACAGCAGGCTGTGGAAGTCCAGCCCATTGAGATTTCTCTTAGCTCTTCTGCTGAAGATTTACTCTCTAGAAAAGGCAAAAAGTTTTCCTTCAGGTTTGTCAGGTGCTTTTTCAGGTGCTTTAGCTCTGATGTCCAACAGTTATCCTTGATGATCAAAGACCTCTATTCACAAACAGCAGAGCAAAATGTCTCCCCCAGCAAAACCAGACAACATGCTACAAACTCAGGGGGAGGGTTCGGAACTTATACTCACTGAATAAGCCTTATTTGGTTTTCTTTGTACCAGAAGCCAGTTCATCTCCAAAACATAGGAGATGAAGATAAATACCGAGAGTAAACACTGAGGGTAAATCTGCAGGTGAAGTCTGATCTGAGTTCAAGGCTGTTGCCAGAGTGGAGGAAGAGACTTTGTAATTGACTCAGCTAGAAGGCCAAGAAATTATGATTACAAGGCCTGACCTCCTACTCCACTCATCTCTGTGGCAAAGGGAAGCTGTCTAAGCTACATCTGCTTTTTGGGCTCTCATCCAATGCTTGCTGTGGAAAGATTCCCATCAACTTCAAAAGGCTTTGGACAAGACCCAAATAAATAATTTACTACCAATTCTGAGTCTATTTGTCTAGGTTGTTTTTTTTTGTTTTGTTTTGGTTTTGGTTTTGGTTTTGTTTTTTTAATAAAAAAAAAAAAAAGCACTGTGGCTACTCAGTCATAACAGCATTCCTTTTTTATCTAATGAGCTGACAACAAAATTGCAGCAGAGTCCTGAAGAACTGACTCTTACTTCTTCAGGAGGATGAGGACTGCATTGGCTGTGCTGGCATCAAGGCCAGTTGTTGGCTCATCCAGAAAAAGGACCGGTGGCTCTGTGATGAGCTCCATCCCAATGTTGGTTCTCTTCCGTTCCCCTCCAGACACTCCCCGGATCAATTCGGTTCCTACCTACAAGCAGAAGAAATCAGGTATTTGCAACCAGACCTAGTCACTGCATGCTCCAGAGTTCAGGGCTCTCCACACCCAGCAGCCCTTTTCATTTTCAGAGTCCCATTAGTGAACTCTAGGACCAGTAGCAGGTGATGGGTCTGACTCACAGTGAGGGACAGTAAGCAGAGCCTGATTTTCAGAGGTACCAGGCATCTTAGGACTTCAGGAAACAAGGATGCCACTGACAGGGAAGAGCCAAAATGAGGCCACAGCAGTCAGAGGTGGCATTGGTGTTCAAGGATGCCTTTTGTTGGTAGCTTTCCTGTTGCTCAAGTAAGAGTGGGGTAAGTAAGAGTAAAAATGCTGCTGGGAGGAACAAGCTCTGCACAGAACTTCTCCATCACAGCCCAGCTTTCCATCCCTTACAGCTTTCAGCACTGTAAAAACAATTTCCCTGTCTTGTCCCACAAAGCCAGGAAGTGACTGAGCAGCTTTCCAAGGTGCAATGACTAGGTGCCTTTTTCCCCTCTGAAATTATACAACATACTGGACATGGTCCAAAATCTTCCCCCTTTGGTAGCAAATACACATAACTCTTTCCAAGCCACCTCCTGAGCTGGAGACAGACTTCTTGTGTGCAGTATGGTTTAGTCAGGTTCCTGCTTAGCTTAATGTAGCTGCACTACATATGCCATACTGCCCAGAGTCAAGTAGTTCAGTTTCCAGAGGTAGTAGGATTTCTGAGAAATCTCACCTTAGCATCAGCCACTTTGCTTAATCCCAGCTCACTGATTATCTGGGTGACTCGCTTTTCCTTCTCTTCAACACTGATGGAGCTGGGGAGTCGCAGGGCAGCAGAGAAGTGCAGGTTCTCCCTCACCGTCATTGTGCCCATGACAACATCATCCTGAAAGCAGTACAAGCGGACAGTTGGAAAGACTCCTTCTCAGCTACCTGACTGGGAGCAGCATCCCCATAGCGGCAGTTGCTGGATAAGGCGTTTGTGAACTACAGTGGAAACTGGACTGAGGGACAACCCCTGCTTGAAAACTTACATGACACAAAATTCAAGGTCACTCAGTAGCTGTCAAGGGGAGAATGCAGCTCTGCAGGCTCCCAGCTTATACTAAGCACCACCTCAGTCTGCTTTCAAGCTCAGAAGTTCCAGTGCAGACAGTACAATTTTGTACTGCATATGCATTTTCCTTACCGGCCAAAGGGAGACAGAGCAGGTAGCTGGTTTTGTAACCAGCCTCTTAGGCACAAGACCTTATTCTAAGGCCTACCCCTTTAGAAAAGCTTCAACATGCTCATTTTGAGTAAGAAGAAAAACTACCCATTTGAAAACACCTTAGCAGCCTACATCAACCTGTAACAACCATGAGCCAAACAGAGTTGACATCAGGTCCATGCAGAGCTTCATGCCTCTCCATCACCCCTGTTTTGATATTTGAGCCAATTCTGCATTCCACCATGTGATGGGAGGAGGTCTGCAACATTGGGCAGCTGCTGAGAAACATACCTGTTAATCAGTCATCTTTCAGATCTACTGCCCTTTTGGAAGACACAGCCCCAAAGCTGCAGGGCAGCAGATTCTTGCCTGCTTTGGGACTCCTTCACATCAGATGTAGTTGAACAGCAGCACAGAGGATGTGCCAGCCAATCGTGTATGGCACTGGAGTTATTGGAAGACTGAATGTGCTGCTGTGCTAGAAGTATGCAACAGATTACTTGGAGTGTAGTGTTATGATAAACTGGCTTTGCTGTCAAAGCTGGTTTAGGAATTTCCTACCATCACTTCCCTCCCCAGACACCCTGAGTCTCTCGCCCTAGCCTCCCATTCCCCATCCTCAGATCCACAAGTACAACTGTTGGGTCACAACATTGGAAAGTAAACGGTGAAGTTAAGCTACTTTAATACCAAACAAACTGTGGCATGACACCCTCACTCTCAGGGCACAAGTGAAGACACCACCTGCAGTTTTATAGCAATAACACATGACTTAGCATGTCTATATGCTCACCTGCATAAAACTGACCCTATAAGTATGTACTTATTTAGGCTTTAAGTATTGTTTGTAGTCTTTAGGCCATCTTTATTGATCTAGGGAGTACTGCACAGGTGTGGAAGGGGAGAGAGACCATTTAATGCCTCACCTAGTTGCCCATCATAGAATCATACAGTGGTTTGGACTGCAAAGGACCTTAAGGATCATATAGTTCCAACCCCCTGCCATAGACAAGGACACCTTCCACTAGACCAGGTTGCTCAAAGCCCCGTCCAACCTGGCCTTGAACCCTTCCAGGGAGGGGGTAGCCACAGCTTCTCTGGGCAACCTGTCCCAGTGCCTCACCACCCTCACAGTAAAGAATTTATTCATTGTATCTAAACTAAATCTACCCTCTTTCAGTTTAAAACTGTTATTCCTCATCCTATCACTATAGTCCCTGATAAAGAGCCTCCACCCCATCTTTCCTGTAAGTCTCTTTTAAGTACTAGAAGGCTGCTATAAGGTCTCCCCGGAGCCTTCTCTTTTCTAGGCTGAACAACCCGAACTGTCCCAGCCTGTCCTCATAAGGGAGGTGCTTCAGCACCCTCATCATCCTCATGGCCCTCCTCCGGACCCCCTCAAGCAGGTCCATGTCCTTCTTATGTTGGGGGCCCCCCAACTGAACACAGTACTCCAGGTGGGGTCCCACCAGAGCAGACTAGAGGGAAATCACCTCTCTCAACCTCATCATTTTAAGGTTCAGTTTGGTTGCTTTGAACATTTGAGAGACAACTGTCTCAAACTGGAACCACTTGCAAGAAACTTCCTGGCCGTTCATGAAACACTGAGGATTTGGGGATCTTTGACCTGCAGGATCAAAACTCAGCATCAGTCTTGTCACATGCATCCTTATAGAGCCCCCCAGCTGGCAGTTTTCAGAAAAGCTGCCTATTTCACATCTGCCTAAAGTTAGAAGCCTGGATGGTTTCCAGATTTGGCTGCTTATACAGCTGCCAAGAATCCCTTTCTCCTCAGCTCCCCCAGGGCTTTGAGGGTCTATTATTGGTCCAGGCCTCCACCCACTTCCGCAGATTCAGCTGGCTTTTCCTGTCTCCAAGTGGAACGAAGCTCTGTCCCAGCCAGACAGAATCAGAGGAAGAACAGCAGGGATCTATTTACTTCCTAGAATTATTGTCTGATAGCTTGAAGGTATTAGAACTGCTAGAACTGCTTCTGAGTTTTACAAGAGATTTTGGGTATTGTGGGTTTTATGCTCTTTAACGTCTTTAACAGCTTTAACATCAGAGTTATCAAATTAGACTCTGTAAGAATAATTGAAAAATACCTAACCTAATAGTTCATGCTTTGCTCATCTTATGCAGTCTTCCTTCCTGAGGGCTCTCAGGCCTCCACTGAAGGCAGTTACTCACCTGCACAACATATCCTGAGATGCACTTGAAATTTGGAGGTTGTGGGATGCCATCTATAAGTACTTCTCCAGACAGGCCTGCTGGGTCCTTTCTGGCAGCCAACACATCTAGGAGACTTCAGAAAAACACTAGGCATCAGCTTTTGCCATAACAGCTGCTTTTACCTTTGACTGGATAAGTACCACCAGTCAGGACTGCGGTTACAGCCTGCTCATGGCATGCTGCAAAACAGAAGGCACAGAAATGGGCATTAGCTCTTTGTACAGAAAGCCTGGTATAGATACAGTATTTTCCAGAACAATGTGTGCCACAGCAGTATGGTAGTATACAGACCCTCACAATTCAAAGCAGTCAACCCCCTACAGACGTAAACTCAGTCTGAATATTAACACCTAACTGCAAATGCACAGAGACAAAAGTACCCTGCTGAGTAGCTGCAGTCTGCTCTCCAGCCAGGGGAACACAGAATTAACTACTTTGATCTAAAGGAAATTAAACCAAATGGGTATAAACAAGACTAGAGTTAATCTTAATTCTATAAATTAATTCCCCTTATTGCCAGTGCTGAGGACAGCCTGTCTGCTAGCTAAGTAAACACCACTTTGATGAAGTGCTGCTCTTAAAAACATCCTGATTAGCCAGCAGTCTCCTTAGGGAGGAAGATCAAGGGTCAACACAAAGACACACCTGTGTGAACCCTGGCCACATTTGCCAGTCTCTGACAGTCTCAAAGGCACAGAGCGACAAAGATCTCTTTTACCATAGTTATACAGGAGAGAAAACAGCATCAGCACTGGCTAGAGATAGTCTGTATGGTATTTCTCTGTGCTTTCAACCAAAGAACTCAAGCACGTGTGCACCCCCAACACCAGGCCACAGCCAAGTTGGGGTAAGGATCCAGAGCATCCTACAGACTGAGATTACATCATATTCCTGTCAGTTGTCAGAGAGGGGTTTGGCCTAGCATCTTCAAGAAAGTCTTGTTACAGTGATTTCACAGGGAATGACATCTCTCCTGCCCCAAGGGAGCTTGCACCCCCTCCCCACCCCATTACAGGTCTAGGACAGAGCCTATACCTGAGCTTCAGTCACCCCGGTTCAGCCTGGTATCTTAACTCAGGCCACCAAAGGCAACTCCAGTAATATGGACCACCAGTTGGAGCAGGAGAGGAGTGTGACACCACTGCAGGGCAAGAACTCCAGCAAAACTGACTGAGGGACACGAGGTCAAACTGCATGACCAGATTTCTCACAGGCATGCAAAGGTCCGAGCCTGCAGATCCCTCACATCTCCCCTAGCCCTCTGAACGCCAAATCCTCTTTGAACAGCTGACTGTCCATTTGAAGGAGCAGAAGAAAAGTACTCACGAAGATTTACCACTCCCAGTTGGCCCCAGAATAGCATTCAAGCCTGGCTTCATCATGCCACTGGAAGAAGGAAAGAGTTATTTCCAAATGGAGGACTGTTCACGTGCAGCTCATAGTAGAGGTAAGGTGTGAACAAAATGATGTTGAAAGGAAAACTTAGAGATTATTAAAAACTTCTTAAATCTGAAATCAATAAAAGTTTTTGCTTTCTTGTCCCAGACTTCCAGTCAGAACAGAACCAGAGCTGGACATAAAAAGCAATCTAGAAAAGACAGAAATTAAGCACCTTCCCTGCTGAGCTGGGTCTTGAAAGGAGGAAACAGCTGCTCTCTGCTGCTCCTTTCCTCTGACTGCAGCTTGAGCCATAGTTAAGGGAACCCTCCGATCTACTGGCAGAAGAGTTCACACAAGGCTGGCCCTAATTTGCTCAGACCAGTAACAAATTTCTCCAGCTAGATCCCAGATATTTTGCCTAAAAGCAAATTAGAAAGTGCTCACATGAACTGCAGACTGGCAGGCGGGTAGTAATTTCTTTACTAGCACAGCTGGATCTGGAAGGTGACATTGAGGTCACTGATTCACAGCAGCAAATTAACTATTACCCCCTGATATTTTATTTAAGCAAGAACTTACTAAACATTATGAAGGATCTTCTTTTCCACAGTTTTCCGTTTACATAGGAATCCACTGGACTGCTTAACTGAGTACTGGATGTTATGGAAACTCACAACAGAGCCCCGAGGAGATCGGAGGGACTCTCGTGTTGGAAGAAAACGTTGGAAATTGCCTACTCCTTCCTCTTCTCTAACAGAAATAATGTTGTGATCAAATGTGTCTGCCATCATGTCCTTGTTACACAGGTCAAGCTCCACTGCATGGAGTTTTTTGATGTCACTGTTGTTTTGAGCAGTTCCCATCTGTTGAGACAAGGAACACAAAAACATACAGGAAAGGAGACATGCAAGCAAAGATTTTTGTAGAAAGTGTCTTGGAAAAGCAAGTTCATGCACACCACACCAATACTTACACTTGCCAAATTTCTAAAAGGATGGACATCCATTCTGGAAGACATCCAGTAGTCCCCAATGGCATGGGAACCCACAGATTTAGAACAATACACATAGCCTTTAAGAACAAGACATGTATGTTCTTGAAGTGATGCTAACTAGTGAGGTAAAACCCAAGCCCATCTGTGGAGACCATCTTACTCAACACAGTGGGGACTACAAATGCAAGCTGCTACCACTTAAGATAGAGTCTCAAGCTCCTCTCCTTCAGGTGTAACACGTTTACCCCTTTTCACACCCCGACAAAGCCAGCAGAAAAAAAACTATTAATGAATCTGTATGAACAACCAATGGAAGAAGAATGGTTGTGCTTATGAAAATGAAGGCCAGTCACATGCACCTGTTTTGCTGGCACAAGTTTATTTCAGAAATACCAATGTGACTAAAATAACAATTACACATATTGCTTATCATGTTTCAGTTACACCAGTATCAAGACACTTCACAACTACAAACAGGAAGAGAAATTTGGATTTGTCTGCAGACACCATTTACCCTGAAGAACAGTAGGAGTTCCCCCTCTCACAGGGGGACATGCCACAGTAAGGAAAAACATGGTACAAACTGGTACATTCAGGAAAATTAAATATGGCATCTATTTGTAATCACAAAGTTATAAAGCATTCTGGTTCAAGCAGATGAGTTGCCTCTATAGCTCAGGATGGGAACACCCGAAAAGGAAGACATGTGAAGAGCAAAGGGAAGGAACTGTCTTCCCTGTCCATGCATCAGAGCCTACATAGTAGGAAATATATCAATATGAGTATAATCATTAATATTGATTCGCTCATTAGTCACAGCAGCAGAGCTCTTTTGTCAAGGGGCTGCTTCCCCTTCTGTTGCTGTAACTGATGCAGACCAAAACCTTGCAGTCCCCAAGTTCTGCAGCTTGCGCAAGGCCTGGGCATAGCTTGTACCCTGCCTTTTAGCCAGGTGCCCTCTCAGCCATAAACCTCCCCGGCCCCTTTCCAGGGAACTACAACAAGGGAGAGGAATTACTACATGTCCCTTCCAGAAACTGAACACAAGTTAGACTAACACAAGTTAGTCTAATAATTTACTTCCCCTCTAGCTGCTGGCATAACGGTGTTTGCTGGAAAGCTAAAGATTTTCTGTGATGTTGCAGAAAGCTAAGGTGGTCACCAGGCTAACTAAGAAAGCAAAGAGAGAGAACTGGCCACAAACACATCCATTTCTGGCTACTTGAGTTTTGTGTGAAGGCAGATGTAACCCACCAATCACTCTTTTCCCACCTACTGGTGATAACCAGTAGGAGCAACAATACCCACCATCACAGAAGTAGTGGATTTCTTAGGGAGCAAGATGGTCATCCTTTTAAGAAACTGGAACTACAATAGCCAGATTTAAAGAAACAGAAATTGCCCTTTCCTCTCTGCCTCTTCCTAGCACTTAAAGCTCAAGAAGTTGCAGTATTTTTTTCCTGTATGATCAAAATAAAATCAGTGGGGAGAAGGAAGGGTTGTTTAGCTTGGACACATCCTGAACTCTAAGGCTGGTCACCCCTGGGAAAGCCTTGCTTATGGGAAACAAGGATATGCTAGTTAGATCAGCAAGAGAAAGCTTATATGCTTGAAAGGCTGCATGACAGATGAGGAGGAAAAAGTCAAGATGACAGCAACACCAGGGACAAAGACCTGGTTAGACTTTTGAACGTTTGATTGTCTTGTGTACCTCACATTTGTTCTGGAGAGGCTCTGCGGCTGATTACACCATAAACCCTTTTATACAGGTTTTTGCAAAGCTACTGATAAGCACCGGGAAGCTAAGCCACTGCTGCGGGTATGCACAAGGACGACGGGAGGATGAGAAAAGCTTAGCAGGGGCTACAGGTAGTATCAGGCGGCAGCAGGAGCAGCAGCACCTCACAAGCAGCGCCCCTCCAGCCTCCCACCCTCGCCCCACGGGCCGGTTCCACCCCTAAGCCGGAGCCGCGAACCGACCCGGCCGACCACGCTCCGCTTTGCTCCTCAACCCCCGCCCCACGCCCCGGCCGAGCCGCCCCAGGAGCGCTGCCCTCCGGAGGGCTCCGCCGCGCCGCCCGCCGCCCGCCGCCCGCCGCCCCGGCTCCGCGCCGTTACCTCCCCGCTGCCGCGCCGCTGGGGGTTCTGGCAGCGGCGCTGCCTTGGAGGCGTTTTATAACCGGGTCCGGGCGGCGGGTTACATAAACCGGCGGCGGGGAGTGCCTGGCGCTGCCACACAAACCCCGCTGGGACGCGGGCGAAGGCAGCGGCGATGAAGCTCCGCTCCGCCAGGCAGCGCGGCCCCGGGGCGGCCTCCCGCAGCGCGGCCCCGGGGCGGTGCCGCCGCTGGGCCGGGCCGGGCCGCCCCCGGCTGCCTGGGCCGCGCTGCGGGAGCCGTTTCCCCCCGCCGGCGATGCGGGGTCCGGGGTGGCGGCGCGGCGGAGCCCCGTGCGCCGGGATGCCCAGGTGTCCCCCGCGCTGTTATCCCGCCCTCCTGGGGCGGGCAGAGGTGGAGGAGGAGGGGGGAAAGCACCGTCGTAAGTGGGGAACGGGCATCGGACGCGAGGTGCGCAGGAAACTGCCCGAAGGCCCCACACATCCCTGGCACAGAGGGGTACAGCTAGGGAGTGGGTGGCAGCACCCACTCTCTCTCCCATCCTCGGGAAAAGTCATCACCCCCAAGGGATCGTCCCAGACCAGCTTGGTCAGCTGGGGCCAGAGGCAGTCTTGGCAACCCCTCCACCGGTGATGCTGCCACACGGGTCTCACACCTTCAGAAGCAGTGTGCTCCTCAGGTATTTCCCCGTTGGGCCCACGGGGGTCATAACCTCCCACTGGGGTTGACCACTGTCCATCGGGCTGCCTCTCTGAGCTGCCATGTGTTCCCAGCTATGAGCATGTGTGAAAGCAGGAAGATCGGATTTCCTTAGGTTTGTTGTCAAGGCTTCTGCTCAGCTTCCTCTTCCTAAGAACTATTGTCTTTATAAATAAGCTTGCTCTCCCCAGACTCCATGGTGTTGTGAATGCAGGAAAAGCCCATTTTTATAGTTTATAAATATGATTTATAGCAGAGCTGTCAAGTCACCATATTAATTGCCTCTGGTTTGACTTCCCTCTGCAGTTCTGTACAGCATTGCTTTTTTCTACCACCTCTTGCTAGACCAATTTAAGGCTCAGCTAAGCCAAAGCATACCTCTAGCTACCCAATCAATACTAAAAATAAAAACTCCAAAGGTTCACCTATCCCCTTTCCGACACCTGCCTCACTCCGGGCATGTTAATGCACTTGATGCCGTTGACACAGTAGGCAGAAGACACACCTCATGAAGCTGCATTTCTCTACAGGGCTGACAGGAGTTCGGAGCAGGTGGGATTATGGGGATATTGAAATAGCCTTAGATATCTGTCCGGAGAGAAAGTTTTGCCATAGGTACACCCAAGGATCAGGCTTGCTGAATAAGAATGTTATCTTCAGTCACTAGTGGGTCAGAAGTGGACTTGAGTTCATGTTTCATTTGTGATTTAACTTCCTCTTGCAAGGAAAATCTGCCTACGTTGAGGACTTTTGCCCTAGTGTTTCACCAAGCACACATGTGTCTCCAAGCATATTTCAACCCTAAATACTCACTATCCCTCAACGTGCTACAGTGGCAATCCTCTTGTCATGTGCCTGGGACAGTGAGAAAAAAAAGCCTGTGTGCTTGGGAGCAGAGGTGAGCATTTTTTGAGTCATGAACTTGCTGTTCCACATAGTGCCTGCACAATGGTGCAGGAGGACAACTCAGTGAAAGAACACAATTAAAGATTCAGGTTACTTTTGACAGTTAGTTTCAGCTCCTCATCTGGTCCTCAGATGGAGGTGATGGATACCTTCATGCTGGTAATTTTGGGAAACAGCACTGCTCCTCCCACACTTCATGGAATGGAAAACCACTTCTCTGCCCTCTGTACCTAAGCACGTCCCAATGACAAAGAAGTAGACAGAGACCCAAGATATGGGGAGGAACCAAATCTACCAAATACAGTATTTGGCTGGAGGCTCTGGCTTTGCTCTAGCCCATTCAAGTAACAGTCTTCTGGGCTTCTTCCAGGGCCTCTTGATCTTCAGTGTGTTTCAACTCCCGACCCCAGTGGGGAGTATTTTCCAACTGTACTATTTTACTGATCTGGTTGATCTAGCTCATACTGTTGCTGAGAAAGATTTCTGTTGGTATGGGGTAGAAAACAGTGGCCAGGGGTGTGTTTTTTTAAGAAGAATGCTCACAACAAGCCTGAGGAGAGCCTGATGTTGTGCACTGTATTTTTCTCTCACTACACCACTCTCTAGGTTGGTGAATGCCAGCACTGCTTTCTGCTGCTCATCCACAGAGATGGGAGTTTGCCTTGTAAACTGTCAGCCTTCACTTCTGATTAAAGGATGTTAAACAAATAACACTAGAAGTCTTGCCTTGCTACACTATGATAGCAAGGTAAGAGCAACCTGGATCACGTTTCAGACCTCATGCAGGTATTAGCACAGGTTTGGGATCTTTGCTCTTGCTCCTTAGCCCCTGCTGCCTTGAGCCTCTGATCTGGCTTCCAGAGCAGGAGAGACCATGATACTGTCCTGGGTGTGGGGGAAGAGACTTAGCAGAAAATCAGGCTTTGAGGGGTCCTGCTGAAAAGCATAATTCTCACTTGCTGCTGATTTGAACATTGCTCCTTTCCTATGAGTTCTAGTCACACTAGTCATATCCCACATGTGCCCCAGCAAATAGAGTAGATAAGAAGTTACTGAGGACTATGAGTTCCACTCTCTGCCGATGGTCTTGGTCTCTTCTTCCCATCTTCCTGCAGCCTGAGCCCCAGCATCACAAAAACATCTGTTTGAAGGAAGTGCTGAGGGTTCCTTTCTAGTCCAGCTTTCCACATGGACCAAGACTTGATCAAGTCAGACATGGCTTTGTCTAGCAGAATCACTGGACACAAAATTTTCAGATCTGTTTCTCCATTGCTTTCTTTAGGATGCTGCTTTCATTGCCCTGAGGATCCAGCGTGTTTTTTAATCTTGCCTAATGATGAATTTCATAAGCTTATAAAATATTTCAGAGATGTGAGCCAGCAAGTGAGTGCATGAGAAAAATGTGCAGAAGGAACTGCATGATGATGAGTACTATTGCCTTCTCTACCAAATGCAGCAAGAAACAGATCCCAATAAGAAGACAGCAATATCAGACATGGTGCATGAGTTAGAGATATTTCCTAGCTCTTCTTTTCCAAAAGTTCCAGTAAATCATTCTAAAAGACACACCATGTGCAGATGTGTACACATGTGCTGAATCTGTTGCATATAAAAATTCACCATCCTAAGCACAAAAAAAAAAACCAAAACAATAAAAAACCCAACCCAGATTGCTCTCTGTGTCAAAGCTAGTGCTGACTGGCCTCCCTCACTTGGTTAAAGTGCTGCTTGCCTTGTGGAAGTTAGCTTTTGCAAGACTTGCAGATTATGTAGAAGAAACCTGACTTTGTCAAGTTTTGTTAATCATTTAGTCCATTATCTGAATTCATAGTAGCACTAAATCTTTCATTGGTTAGAGATAAGAATGTATTCAAGCAAATGTAAGAATAAACAAAATCAATATTTAACTAGTGCACTACACTGAGATATCATGGGCCTGACTGACAGAAATCTTGAATAGCTAAACTATAGGATCAACAGAACTACACATGGGTGCTATCTGGGTGAAGCAACTAATCAGACAAACACATAATACCTGCACTCGAAAGCACCTAGCACTTCTAAACCACCATTACAGTTCTTCAGTGGTTAAAAAGCTAACATCATAAATGTGCTCAGATACTTACCAGCTCCAACTTGCTTTTCTTAGTAATATAACAGAAAACCTAAGACTACCTTAAGACATACAATAAAAGTACAGAGACTCCTTTCCCTCACAGTCTAGATAGATGAAGAGAGGGAGATAACACTGGTACAGGGAGCCGAAACAGTGCGGTCTGATGAGAAAGCTGGTAATAAAGGCTTAGACCAGGGATACATCTTAGCCACACTGCATAGCAGCTACGAGGGAGGCAAGCTTTGGGAGCCTGCTAGGATGAAGAGGAAGCTTCCATGTCCTCTCTAACAAAGCATATCTGGAGGGACACCACTTGTGACTGCCCCATGTTCTTACTCCTTTAGGACAAAGCCTGGGACTGCAGACTAAGAAGCAGCACCAAGCTAAGATGGGGCAGCAACACAAGTTCCCCAGTGCAAGATTATCCCACGCTCAGCCCAAGCTCCTGGAACAGGACTCCATCCAGTACAGTTTGCATTGCTATTTGCAAGTCAGCAGTGGGCACTCCATCCTTCTGCTTCCCTTTTGAGGGCCTCAGTACCCGCAGGAGGTTAACAGGATTAAAGTATGTTTTATCTGTCCCAAATCACCTCTTCAGAGGTCAGCTGCCTCCCTAGAGATGAATGTTGACATACACAGTGTTACGTAGACATTTCACCTTCTTCCTCAGGAGCAAAGTCCAGACTGCCCATTAGTCATTCCTAAAAACTGTTTAAATTTTATCCATTCCCAGGGCCTGAGCTGCTGCCATTAGTATTTTTTGTGACATCCCTGAACAGATTCAGACTTTTTTGTGGTAGGTTCTGTACACCCAGAGTCACAGAGTGTCCTCCCCCCAAAGGGACATCGAACAACAGTAGAACGTGAGATAGTGTGACAGTAAACAGATTGTATTCTGAAGAAGGAGAGGTAAGACACCAGCTCTGTCTCATTCATAACTTACCCCTTCCTAGATGCCTAACAGTGCTATATGATACAGCACCATCCAGAGCTGGTTTGGGACAACCTGTGCAGTAGAGCCCTGTCATTGGTCATTTCCAGGCACATGGGCTCTCTTGAAAACTCACTCTTGGTGCCTCAGCGAAGCCTGATGTGAACTCAAGCAGGAGACCCATCACAGAGCACCCACGTTGCTTTGTCAGCTGAGCATTTGCATTCTTCTTTCACCACTCCTCTGCCAGGGCTGGGCCTTAGCTCACCACACCCCAGGGGCTGACATACTTCTGCCACCCACTTGGGCACCTGGCATGTGTGCAACATGGCTAGCTGGCAAAGAGCTATGGCTGGCATTTGCTACCTCTAAAGCCAGGCCATGAGCAGGGCTTCTTCATCAATTCCTCAAGTGTTGAATTCTGCCACCTCTCTCCAAAACTTGTCATATTCATTTTAACACACTCCTTGGCCTCTGAGCTCAGGATGGGGCCTGGACCTGGCACCCACTGAATTTCCTCCTACTTCTACCACTTTCCCAGTACCAGTACTACTTGCTTTCAGGTTTGAAGGCTCTGAATT